ACGGTGATGATTGTGGTGGGTGGCAATGACCGTTGTGGGGGTGGGGGTGGGGGTGGGGGTGGCGACGGCAATAGCGATGGTGGCAGTGGTGGGGTATGGGCAACAGTGGTGGTGGTGGCAACGGCAACGAAGGTGGCGATGGTACAGCGGTGGTGGTGGTGGCGCCGACAACGGTGGTAGAGGTAGTAATGAGACAATTTCAAACACTATTTTTTTTAAGTACTTATGAGAAATAATTTCTAGAAGTAGTTTTAAAAAGTCACTCTAAACATACTCTTAGAACCCTATTTTTTCTATTAAATTTATGGTGTTAATACTAGCCGTTATACTAATTTTAAAATAAAATTTAAAGTAATTTGAACTGGAAAAAACAAAAATTATTTTGTTTATCTTTTAATATTTGAATTGTAAATTACTTTATTATATAGTTATATTACGAGTTTAGCAAGGCAGAGCGAGATAGAGAGGGGAAGTTCATCTCCGTCTCTATCCCCACATTAGTTTATATGAATATTTTTATATACATCTACCGTTCAATACGTNTAGAGAGGGGAAGTTCATCTCCGTCTCTATCCCCACATTAGTTTATATGAATATTTTTATATACATCTACCGTTCAATACGTATGATTTATCTCTTATTCAAGCGAGACATTTTTGAATGAATACCCTTTTTTTTTTTGGATCCATTACCATCCCCAACACTCGCGAGTTGCAAAACTTTATGCCTTGGTACAATGTGCAATTTCATTTTTTTTTGGCTCCTTTAATTTGAGCAGTAGGGCTACACAGCATGACACGTACCTAATATAAAGCTACTATGTGGTGGTGATGGCACGGGGGATAAATTACATCTTTATCTTTTGTGGTTGGAGCCGGTGTTACTTTCTGTCTCTCTGTGTCTTAGAAAACTTCATGTAATCCATTGTCATTTTGGACTAATATATAACAGTTAAAAGGGGTCAACAATTGAGTATAAAAATACTAAAATATCGTATACCTTTTAATAAAAAATATAATTAATACATAAAAAGTAAAAATGAGAGAGAGAGAGAGAGAGAGAATAGAAGCATGAAGTAAAAGCCATTTTGACTGGTTATGCAATTTAATCCAAAATAAAAAGAGATTATATATGGATTTATGAAATATAGGGAAATAATATACTATTGGGTCAAATCCCAAATCACATGGAGTAATCCAAGAATAAAAGGTGATCGCGGACCTTTGTTCTGGCCATTGTAGCATGTGTTGCTTAGGATATGAGCATGGGTAGGGTCAGAATTTTTTTTAAGATGAACACACTAGCATATTTTAATTTTTTTTAATAGACTGTAAATGTTCATAAATTTATATTTATTAAATTTATATATAATACTTTTTAAAGATAGAAGATTAAAAATTGATATATTAATAAACAAAAAAATAATAATTAAAAGTTCTTATCGAAATTGCTTCTAATTATTATTATTTAAAATTGACCCTGATATGTTTTGATTATTTAAAAGAGTTACAAATTAATTTTATCAGCAATATTTCTTTTGTATATAAAATCGAGGTAATAATATTCTATTTATAATTCTATAGTTTACTACATAACGACACACATTTTTATACAATAACGAAATAATCTTACAATTTAAAAAATTATAAAATAACATCAATATGTTCAAAACATATTCAGATATGTCTAAAACATGTCTAAAAGTTAACAATTATATTAGTTGTACATAATTTGAAATTTAATTGATAGAGACCCAATAGTTTATGACAATTAGATAAATAGTAGAGTTTTATTAAATTTTAAAACTCACTATTATACTTAATATAATAATGTATTAGGTCCTTAAATTATGTTTCAATAATATTGTTCAAAAAATTAACAATTATTTAGGTAAAGATCTATTCAAATTAATATCACAAAAATAAAATATTAGGGTGGATACAACTAAATATGTCTAAATTTTATTTCAACAAATACATAATTAATGAAGCAAAAAAAAAAAATTGAGGGGCATATGCACACCCTAGCCCAAGGGTGGCTCCGCCCCTAAGTATAAGGGATATAATGACTTGACGTTATCGTCACCTTCCTTTGAATTGTTACTGTTATTTTGTTCAAGGTTTCAAACTCATCGATTATAGTTAAATACGAGAGTTGTACTTCTTACGGGACTTAACTCAACACCTTATGACATGAGCTGATGGCTAGTATACACCACCTATGTCTGCGTTCCTGAACTTTGCTTCAATTGTTTGCATCAGTGGATTTAGGCTCACTATGATCTCTTAGATGAACTCAATGGTCTATCTGATGAGTGACACGACAAAAAAATTTGTTTCCATGGGCAAGATTCTATTTAATAAGCTAGAAGTCTTAACAGGAGTTAACTTTATCTTCACATCAACGTAGAGGGAAGAAAAAAGAATTATGCACTGAAATCTTATTCAATCTCCTACCAATTTGACATCAGTTTACTTTTGACACCCAAATCTGAATCTGATTGATTTCGTCAAGAAAATCATTGATTTTTATCAGAAAATTTTTCTTTAGCATTCTTGTCCATTATATTCTTGAATATTAAGCACTTGAATTTCATCTCGATTTTCAACGATTTGTCCCGATAACTAAACCCACCTATAAACTTAATCCTGCAAGATTGAGTGACCCTTGACTCGTTCTCAAACAGTGAATTGCTGTAAAATAGCAAAAAGAAGAACATCACAATCCATACTATGAGTCTTTTGGACTCATAATTGTTACATTGATTCGAACTGTACATGATCACCTTGCATTGTTCATGTTTTACCCTATTCCTTCCAAATTTATGGGTGTTATAAACAATATTTGGCATGGTTCAAAGTATCGAATGATACCGATACGAATCGGTCGATTCAGACACTTTTCGAGATAATACCGTTAAACGAAACATATAAAATCCAAATTTCACAAGACTCGGCAGAGTCATTAGAATTGTATTCGAGTCAATTTCGAATCGTTGAATTATCATCACTAAATTGACTGATATGACTCGTAATGCTACCTACGGTATGACTTAAATCTCTTGTCATGTTCAATTTTTTTTTTTAAATCGTATCACTCGATATTACAACACGATGTTACAACTGATGTGTCTCAAAGCTTTTTAAGTCGGTGACCAATACTACGATTTTGAACCATGATACTTGGAGTATGCTTGATAGTGACTTAAAGGCATAATTGAACATGACGAATAATACCCAGTAGGCTAAACGTAATTGGCCTTTCTTAATTCCCTGGTCTTAAGATTCTGTCAATAAAGAGACTAAAGCATCAATCTTTATTCTTTACCCAAAGCAAAATTTGATTTTTTCTATGTCTTGTTGTTTGAGGTTTCTCTTCACCTTTTATGGATGCTTTTATTTTCCACTAACAATGCATTGCATAATTACATAATCCTATTCTATACCAACTTGCCATTACACAACTCAACTTTCAACTTCTAAAAAAAAAGCAAGTAGATATCAACAACATACCAAATAAAAGTGGATATTAACTTCCTTCTTTATTCTTTTGGAAAATTATACTTTATTCCTTTCTACTATGAGCCCGGTCTAACTTTGTATCCTCAACTATTAAATTTTTTATATTGCCTTATCCCGTATGTGAATTTATTTTTTACTATCCAAAAAATAAATATCTATACTATCTTGAACTGAAAATTTTCAAATGTTTAGTAAAACAAGTTTTTGATATTTGAAATTAGAATAATGTGAAACAAATAATTATAATTAGAGGTGTAATGTGAAAATATGATAATTTAATAATAATGTGAAACCAATAACTATAATTAAAGGTGAATAATAAAATACAAATTCTTTATGGAAAATGTTATTTTGTAATTAAAATGTAGACTAAAAATATAGACTTGATTAAACACAATCATTAAATAGATAGTGAATTCTAATAAACACTTAAACACACAATAAAATTAATAATAATAATTAATTAATTCTATATTTTAAATGTAGGCAGCAATGTTCTTTATTGGTGGAAACAAAAATTTATCCTTGAATTTCGTCTTTACATGTTATTCAACAACTTACACTATTGCTTTCTTTTTATAAAAACTTGATTGATATATCATTTGATTGAAAGATTCCTGGGGAATCAAATAGGCCCCACCCTCCATGTGAAATCATTTATCGCATTAATCTTGCTTTAATATAAGACCCACCACAATTATAGACTATAGAATTTTTATTTTTTATCAAAATTTTTATTTTAAATGATACGGCACAATTTTTATAATTTAATATTAAATAAAACTCACTTATTTGATAGTGAAAACTATGTCATTTCACTTACAATAAAAAACTTGATAAAAAAATTTGATTAGCATAATATTTTTATTTATTCTAATTCTTGACAGGATTTTAAAAAATATAATATTAGCGTAAATTTATTCGATTCACGTTTTATGCTCCTTTCTGCACCATATCATTACTCTTGAGTTTATAACACTTTGTTCCACAAACTACGAAATTTGTGTAATTTTTTCCCTTTTAACTATTAGTTTTTTTACATTGCCCCCTCAACTATTTGAATTGGTTCACATTGTCGAAAAACACAAATCTCCGCTATCTTTTGGACATAAAATGTCAACATTTCAGGATAAAATAAAACAAAATTACATACTTTGGAAAAATAAAATAATCTTTCGTCAAATTTCTAACATACATCTATCATTAGGATAAATTAATAATTGAGAGGATAAAATGACACAAAACTGATAATGTATAGGTGCAAAGTGTAATTAATTGATGACTCATTTACTCTCCTCCATGCCACGTTAGTGAACGCTGTGCAAAACTTGGGAACACACAATAAGGATCTAAAAAGATTCCTCTTCCACTTTCTTTTCCAAAGTCCTTTCCTTTTTCTTTTCACTTTCCTTACCTTTTCTCTTCTTTTCCCGGAAAATCAACGATTAAAGGAAACCAACCGAGAAAAATACAGTAATTATGCAGAACCAATACAAAGACGAGAACACCTACTCCAACTTCAGCGTTCGCAGCAATCCCAGCATTACCACCAACAGATCAATGTCTGACACCGAATCAACGACGAGTCAACTCGACTCCTTCCACTCGCCTCTCCGTTCCGACTCTCCGCTCCGCTCCGATGACCCTGAACCTCCACCTGAGAAATTCCTCAAAAAATCCCCTTCCAAAGCCATTGTTACAGTTGATAAGTACTATTCGCCTCTTCGATCCCCCGTAAAACCACCTCAAAGTCCACCATTTCGTGCGAATTCAGAATTTGCGGCGAGTTATCCGCCGCCGGTGAAACTTCGTGATCAGGCGTCGCCGTTGGTGGTGATGAATAAGGCGGTGAGGGAGGAGGTGGCGACGGGGGAAACGAGGGTGGGGCCTACAGGAGCGGGTGGTGGATGGGAGACTTATGGTGGTCGTGGTGGTGAGGATGGGGTGGGAGCAGAAAGGAGGTCTCGGGCGGCGGTGGCGCCGGTACTGAGGAGGCCGAGGGGGGATGTGATGGTGGACAAGGCGGCGTTAGGGTTTAGGGTTTGCGAGGTGATTTTGTGCTTGATTTCGTTCTCCGTAATGGCTGCTAATAAGACGCAGGGATGGAGCGGCGATTCTTTTGATCGTTACAAAGAGTACAGGTCTGAATTTGATCTTTTCCTTTGTTTTTCTTCACATTCACGTATACCTGCTCATAGGGCTGTCAATGGCCTCAGGTGAGGTGGATTCGTGTTGGATTTTAACGGATTAGTGTCACACTCTAATACTGAATCGTCTTTTGATCGCATTGTGTTGGGACCACCCGTTTACGAAATGGGTGTAACACCCCTACTTACATATATTATTTACACACACTCACTTATATGGACAAAATCAGGATTTTATTCGGTCCCTATCCTTAGTCAAGAATTTTAGTCATTGAAATTATTCAACAATTTATTGCTAGAGACAAATTTTAAGTTATATACAATCTATTAAAACTAACTTTACTAAAAATTAGTTTGGATAATAAAGAATTGGTTCTTAACCATCACACAAATCAATTTATGAGAATGTCATAGTCCTCTCATATTCCCTGGTTTATGATATGATGTGATAATATGTTCATTCAAGACCATAATACACAAATGATTCATAATTTAATGAATTGTTTCTGATGAAGTCACATTTGACACCGGATTTTATAGTAATTTCACTTGTGTTTGTTCCTTTTGGTCATCAGGCTTATGGAATCAAATACCTTCATCTAAATCCCCGTTTGATTATTTAATGTCAAGTCATTAATATATTTGAATATACTAGATGAATTACCTAGAAACTTGAAATGAAATATAGGATTTCTTTTAACTATGGGGGGTTGTAATATTTTTGAAAATGTGAGGTAAATATTGGGTGTAACGGTTAAACCATGTCAGCAATGCTGATGTTATGTAATGTAACCGTCCAATAAAAAAACTATAAAATAGATAAAATAAGGCTTACTTTCTATCATGAAGATGGTTTTGTATTACAAGGCGGGGTGGTTATGAATTTTTGTGGGGCGCAGTTGCAGACTTGTTTACTTATTAGTGGACGGTTATATCACGTGTCTTGCTTACGAGGTGTAACAATTACACCCAATATTTTTTCCTATACTTGGTACCCTCCCTGCCCACATAGGAAGAGACCAGAGCTGTGTTCCTACAAGCTCTCTCTAACCTTGAGGTTGCTTTGATATGCTAGATGTGTCTTCAGTGAGTAATATTGTAGGTTTGACTTAGAGCTTTGCACTCTTTTGAAGATCCTCTTTGTTCACATGTTCATTGGAAAATATTTAAAAAAAAAAAAATCCACTTGCTTAACAAGTTCGCATGTTAGTATTTTCCAGTTAAATTGTAGCTTTTTATGAATTGACATGTCCACTTGAACTCAGCTTGAGGTTTTATTGTGGAACTGCACCTGATCTGTGTGCAATCAGGTATAAGAAATGTTATCAGTGGTTAAATTAGAAACTGCTTTTGTTTTACATAGGATTGTCCAACTGTGGGTTGCAAGTGTAGTTAGTGCTGATATGGATCAACTTATCCTTTTAGGATCAAGAACAGTCACATTTATAGAGAAAGGTTTGTGGATTGCAAGGGTAGTTGTTGATAATATGGATTAGATGACACTTTTGAATCAACTTATTGTCAATTTTTCACTCATACCATATTAGTGGTCCATTATGCAGATTTATACTTTGGACTTTTTCGTTTGGGTGTAGCTCTTAACTTAGGTGGAGCCCCCCTACTCCCAAAACAATTTCTTTCTTTCGAAACCACACCGAGGAGGAAGAGGCTTGGTCGATGTGGAGGGGAACTACTCCCCCCCCTCTTTTCCTTTGTCTTTCCATGTTCTTCCTACCAAACCACAGCAACTCTATGTCCCTATCCATCGGTCCTTCCATGGCCTAAATAAGAGAATATATGGGTTTGAATGCAGTGTAGGATCCCAGATGGTCTGCAATAAATTGGCTTCTGTTAAGGACAAGCAAGAAAAGTGCTGTCAATGAGACACCTTATAGCATGTAGGATTAGGGCACCACTTGATAGTTATGCTCCAAAATTTAGTTTGATGCAAGGTGACAGCTTATAGCAACTTGTTGGGACTACTTGTTACTAGAGCAGCATTGACATTCTTCTTCGATTCGTATTCCTTTAATATAATTCTTTCAGGACAGGTTCTTTTTGACAAATTTCATCATGAAGTTTTTCATTTACTATGATTGGCCTACTTAATTTGCTATAAAATCACTTGAATGTTTCCTGTGATTGGATTTGGTAAAGTTAAATTGGAAAACCTAGTTCTTGTGGTTCTGACAATCCCATGTTAAAACAAATGTTCCCGCCCATATGTGTAGAAAAAAATCATAAATGTATTTACAAATGTGGACCTCTGCGGACAATAAATGCTACATTAGTCTGCCAATGNTTTAAAAAAAAAAAAATCCACTTGCTTAACAAGTTCGCATGTTAGTATTTTCCAGTTAAATTGTAGCTTTTTATGAATTGACATGTCCACTTGAACTCAGCTTGAGGTTTTATTGTGGAACTGCACCTGATCTGTGTGCAATCAGGTATAAGAAATGTTATCAGTGGTTAAATTAGAAACTGCTTTTGTTTTACATAGGATTGTCCAACTGTGGGTTGCAAGTGTAGTTAGTGCTGATATGGATCAACTTATCCTTTTAGGATCAAGAACAGTCACATTTATAGAGAAAGGTTTGTGGATTGCAAGGGTAGTTGTTGATAATATGGATTAGATGACACTTTTGAATCAACTTATTGTCAATTTTTCACTCATACCATATTAGTGGTCCATTATGCAGATTTATACTTTGGACTTTTTCGTTTGGGTGTAGCTCTTAACTTAGGTGGAGCCCCCCTACTCCCAAAACAATTTCTTTCTTTCGAAACCACACCGAGGAGGAAGAGGCTTGGTCGATGTGGAGGGGAACTACTCCCCCCCCTCTTTTCCTTTGTCTTTCCATGTTCTTCCTACCAAACCACAGCAACTCTATGTCCCTATCCATCGGTCCTTCCATGGCCTAAATAAGAGAATATATGGGTTTGAATGCAGTGTAGGATCCCAGATGGTCTGCAATAAATTGGCTTCTGTTAAGGACAAGCAAGAAAAGTGCTGTCAATGAGACACCTTATAGCATGTAGGATTAGGGCACCACTTGATAGTTATGCTCCAAAATTTAGTTTGATGCAAGGTGACAGCTTATAGCAACTTGTTGGGACTACTTGTTACTAGAGCAGCATTGACATTCTTCTTCGATTCGTATTCCTTTAATATAATTCTTTCAGGACAGGTTCTTTTTGACAAATTTCATCATGAAGTTTTTCATTTACTATGATTGGCCTACTTAATTTGCTATAAAATCACTTGAATGTTTCCTGTGATTGGATTTGGTAAAGTTAAATTGGAAAACCTAGTTCTTGTGGTTCTGACAATCCCATGTTAAAACAAATGTTCCCGCCCATATGTGTAGAAAAAAATCATAAATGTATTTACAAATGTGGACCTCTGCGGACAATAAATGCTACATTAGTCTGCCAATGTGTTGGAACAAAATTTTACCCCAAGTGCTCACAATGTTGACATTCTGAGTATTGAAATCAGAAATTTAAGTTACTCTACTGCTGTCTTGGGGAAACTACGTTATTCTTATTTTCATAATTGTTAGCATTCTATACCATAAATTTGTTCATATTACTGAGAAATGGCAAACTTTATATTATAGGCTAATGCTGATCCTTCTGCTAGGTAAACATTTGAAGACATGGTTCTGACTGTTGATGTTCAGTTTTTTAAAATTATTGCCATATTTGTATCAAATGCTAATTCTTGTGTATGTTGGATAATATTCTGCATCCATAACCGTAATACTTCCCATTTGATGCAAATAATAAGAAACTAAGTTATACTCGTCCTTTTATTGCTGTTTCTGTTTCTGTTTCTGTCCTTTTTCCAGTGTTCTAACGATGGACTCAATGACACAGGTACTGTGTAGCTGTAACTGTTATCGGATTTGTATATTCGGGGTTCCAAGCTTGCGATCTAGCTTATCATTTGAGCACTGGAAAATACTTTCTCTCTCACCATCTCCGCCACCATTTTGATTTTGCAATGGATCAGGCAAGTCATTCATATCGATTAGTTCCCATTTTCTTGAAGAGCACCTTTCTAATTGTATTTTTGAATGCAACCCACTATATCCAAATAATGATAAAGCTTAAATGGTGATAGTTTGGGGCTAATCTGATTCAAAGTTCTAAGATTCAATTCGCAGCACTGCTGTATCATGCCACAACAGGGGACGGAGGACCATATTCATCATTTTATTTGAGGCATGCCATGCTCCACTTAGGTGGTCATAAACTGTCAGCAAATGGTAAATGAACTCAGTCAAAATGCCTGCACTAGTGGAGAATGGTTTAGGGGGTCTATGCCGAACATTCATGGCTTCTGATTTTAGTTCAACAATTATCTCTAGTTTTGAGGTATTAAAGATGAACCCTTACTAAACTGGTTTTCTTCTTGAAAAACCTTTTGATTGTGTGACCACCATCCCTCATTTTTTGGAAGCTTTCATTTTCCCAATGTTTCCCAAATTCTTATCACAATTCGCTCCTCAAAACTGATTAATCTGCTGATGAAGCAATTATAGAGCTCTTGGATACGGGCCCATGCTTTATGCTTATTTCACACCCTTAAATGGTCTTTGGTAGCTACACGAACCAATAGCACTTGTGGCCGGTTGGATGTGATAGTTTTGCATGAGCTTTGCTTGTACAGTTGCACTCTAATATTGCCGTTGAATCTTTCATGAACATCTGCAGTCTCAATACATGACCTTGCTTATATGATATGGGTCAGACCTGTCGTTTTTTAAACCAAAATCAAATATTAGTGATATTTGCCTGCTTACTCTAAAACAATTTTGGTGCGTTGTTGATGTAACTGGACAGATACTGGCATATCTTCTGATATCAGCATCTTCTTCTGCGGCCACTAGGGTTGTTGACTGGGTATCAAACTGGGGGAAAGATGAGTTTACAGAGATGGCTAGTGCATCTATTGGAATGTCCTTCCTGGCTTTTATCGCCTTTGCCTTGAGTTCCCTCATATCTGGTTACAACCTCTGCAACAGTAATTCCACTTGATCTCTAGACTCTTCTGCAACCATATTTATATTAGTCCTAAAGCTGTTAAAAAAAAAATGGTGGGTAATTTCTATGCTAATCATGTTCAAAGGTGTACAGGTTGGGGTAGGCAGCGCGATATATTCAACAGTCAATTTTCTTTTTAGCATCAAAGTGGGAAGTTTGTAATTATTTATATCTGTTGAAATATATAAACCTTGCCAGTTTATTTGTGAAGAATCGTATGTTTTATTGCATCTGGTCATTCTTCTCCCCGAGTATGTTTATTTCATTGAAAAGTTTGTTCCTTTAAAATGCATTGCAACGTCGGAACGAGGTTAGCTTAGGATGAATTGGTATCTCACTGGTCTGGTAAAGTCCATTTGTTGTGGATTGGTGAAGTGTTTCCATAGAAAGGAAAGCAGGCTCTGATGAAATGAGGAACTAGTTCAGGAGGAAATTACGAAAGTGTGGAAGATCTAAATTCTAATGTCATTGGGTCGCTGCTAGTTCCTGCTCAAATAGCTCAATTTGTGGATTATTCATACTTGAGAACTGTTGGAATTCAGTTATGTTGATACGAAATCAGATAAAATTACCATAAATGAATAGATCAGTCAGACTGATTTAATTTTCTGATCGACACGATTCTGGTTACACACGAACCTGGCCGATTACAGAGCTCTAGGTACAAGGTAAAAAGATATTGACACATTAAACAAATTCAATACGAAATGACTCATTGCGAGCCAACCATAATTATTAATTATGTTATTAGTGAATTTCACTGATGTAATTGTGTTGAGTAATGTTACGTACACAAAAAATGTGCATCAAATCACTTATAATCATTGGATCAGTGATAGGATTCATTGATCCAATGGCTATGTGCAAATTTTGGTATACTTAAAATCATCCAATTTTGTTGAGCTCCTCTAAGAAAACCAGTTCGATGTGCCAAATTAATGGCTGCTCATCATCTATGCATGGCTGGCGGTAGACTGGACCAAGACAATAGCAAACTAGCAACCTTTTGCCAGCTTTCAGAATTGTTGTCAGTAAATTCATTTGACATACCACTCGGACCGGTAATATAGTGGTAAGTCTTCTTCGTCACTCTAAGTAGGATTTGATCCACGAGAGTAACGTAATTTTCTTGACTTTGGTAATGTTGTGATGACAAATTGTCATACTAAGTTAGTTTTTTCTTTTTGTTCAAAACCAGCAAAACAACAATATTATTAAGTAGGAAAATTGAAGTTACAGTCAATCACTAGATAAGCCTTCAGCTCGGGAGGGAGAGATCCTAACCAATTCGTTGGAAGTGAATTGTTTAGCATATTGGCCGCCATCCAGTGAGCAGCCCTGTTAAGGGGTCTAGGCCTGTGTAAAAAGCTAAGGTTAAATGACCTAGTTAAAAATCTAATATCCTCCATAATTACACTAATTTCCCATGGAGAAACATCATTATTTGAGCTTAACTTGATTATATTAAGACAATCATTAACAATCGTGGCCTGAGAGATCAGCTGAGCTTAAACGGGTAAACATGCCTGCTTTACTGCCTCCGCCTCAGCAATAAAAGAAGAAGAAGCAGGGAAGCTCTTGGTACTACTGAATTCCAGAACACCATTTCTTTTACAAAAAACAACTCCACAAGAAGTTTTAGCCAGCTCGGGTTTGAATTTACCATTGCAAAAGACTTGAGAAGCATGATCCTCCTCTCCAGTAGTTGCCTCACTTCTTCCTTGTTCCTAAACACATGCAAACAATCCCTTTTTATCTAATGTGAATTGGTCAGCCCACATAGACTTAGCACGTAACACAATAGCAAAAACATTCCCCTTTTCCTTATTGAAAACAAACTGATTTCTAGCCTTCCAAATAATCCAACCCACTGTGGCCAACTTCCCCAAGAGTTCAAGACTTCGTTGTGTATCATAATCCTCGAGAAGCAAGGTCATGGAACGTTGGGCAACTGACAAAAAGGATGAGTCGTTCTTCATCAAAACCAGATCCATTCCAAACCAGACACACCTAGTCCAGCAACATTCAAACAAAATGTGCTCAATGGACTCTATAGCAGTATTACAAATCAGACAGGAAGGCGTGGCAACACATTTTTTCTTGAACAAATTCTATTGACTGGCCAAAGTATTGTGACAGGCTTTCCACCATAAATGTTTAACTTTGGGAGTTGCCTTCATATTCCATATCGACTGCCATAGTTTAGAATGAAGAGAACCAGAAGAGCTTGTCGCCGGCTGGACAGAGACCTCCTTGCAACCCAGGACATACCTAGACCTGATTGTGCAACTGCCTTTGCTTGTAGGCCATCAAATTCTTCTATCTTTCCTCCTATTCAGTGGCCAGGGAATTGACTTGATGGCATTCAGCTCATTCCTTGATAATAAGCTTTTCATACACACAATGTTCCATCTTTTGGGGAGAACAAAAATATCATCAGCAACCTTTGAGATAGAACAAACCTGGGGCCTTAGGGATTGAATATTCATGTTGGGGAGCTGGGGAATCCACTTATCATTCCAAAAGCAAACCTCTGACCCATCAACATTTTTCCACAATAGCCCTTTATCGAGGAGTTCCCTGCCATAGAGCAAACTGGCCCAAACCCAGGATGGTCTTGCACCACGCTTTGCTTTCATCAGATCATCCTTTGGAAAATAAATTGCCTTCATGAATTTCGCCCAATATGAGTCTGGTTGGTTCAAAAGTCTCTAACACTATTTAGCTAGAAGGGCTTGATTAAACAACTTGAAATCTTTAAATCCCTTCCCCCCAATAGATTTAGATTCAGTCATCTTCTCCTACTTCCTCCAGCAAATACCTCTACTCTCAACACTTCCTTTCCACCAAAAATTTCTGACGTATAAATTTAGCTTAGCACAAAAGCTTATTGGAAATTCCACAACAGACATGACATAGTTAGGAATGGCCTGGACAACAGCTTTAATCAGAATTTCCTTCCCAGCCTGTGATAGACAACAGCTACTTCATCCTTGTAAACGATTCCCTACCCTCTCAAGAAAATATCCAAACACCTCATTTCTTGATCTTCCCCATGCCATAGGGATTCCCATGTAGTTTGCACAGTGAGGAAGGGCCTGCATACCGAAGCAGTAACATAAAGAGACCTTTTGCTCCTCGACCATATTGCTGGAGAAGATGAATCCAGATTTCTGGTAGTTGGCACACTGCCCCGACGCCGTACAGTAACTTTGCAAAATTCTCAACAATTCCCCAACACCCCCATCACTAGTCCTGAGGAAGAATAAGGAGTCATCAACAAAGAAAAGGTGTGAGATCATTGGACTCCTTCTTTTGATCTTGATTCCCACTAGTTTCTTGTCGTTAACCCTAGTCCAGAGCATCGCTGAGAGAACATCAACAACTAAGAGAAAAAGATAAGGGGAGAGAGGATCCTCCTGCCTGATTCCCCTCTAGGGCGTAACAATATCGATTTTTTTTTCGTTAAACACAAATTGTAGGGTGACATTACTGATGCATTGCATAATAAGGCTAACCCAGCGTCGATCAAAGCTCAGCTTTAACATTGTTGCTTCCAGGAAGTACCATTCAACCCTGTCGTAAGCCTTACTTATATCCATTTTAATGGTAATTTCAGGCACTTTCCCTTTCTTCTTTCCTTTCAGATGGTGGAACACTTCGTTGGCGATTACAATACTATCCTGGATTTGTCTATTTGGGACAAAGGCAGCTTGGTTTGGGAAAATGATGGAGCACAACATTCCTTTCAATCTATTGGTCATAACTTTTGATATCACCTTGTACAAAAAGTTACATAGTGCAATTGGTCTGAACTGTTTAATGGTTTCAGGAGTAACTTCTTTTGGGATAAGGACAACATTTGTAAAATTGATTTCCCTGTTCAGCTGACCTCCTTCAAAAAAGTCTTTAACCATTTTAATAATATCATTCCCCACCACATACCAGAATTTCTGGAAGAAAATACCTGGGAAACCATCTGGACCAGGGGCTTTCAAGGTACCCAACTCCTTTGCAACATCATACACTTCTTGATCATGAATAGGCTTTAACAAAGCACTGTTCATTGCCTCAGTGACTTTAACATGTACAACCCCTAGTTCCTTAGACCAATCTCTTTCCCCCAATGATCGAAACAAGTTCTGAAAATAATCAGTGATATGGGATTTGATCTCCTCCTCCCCCCTCAATCCATACAGCTTCGTCAGTTTTGAGCCTAACAATTTGATTGCAATTTCTTCTTTGGATGGTAGACAAGTGGGAGAATCTGGCATTTTGATCCCTATCCTTCAACCAATTGACCTTTGAACGTTGCTACCAGTACTTTTTTTCTCTACATCTTACTACATCAATCTGGTCACAAAGCTCTGCTTCCTCAATAAGATTTTCCTTTGAAGACTCCAGCATCTGAACACGGAGCAGTTCCTTGTTAAGCATTCAAATCAAACTCTTATTATAACCAAATTTCTGTCTACTCCACTCCAACAGATGGGTACTACACGACTTAAGATTGTTGATGATATTACGAAACATAGAGGTTGGATCTCTCATAATCTAATTACTTTTGATCACCTCTTCACACTCAGGATCCTCTAACCACGTACTTTTAAATTTAAAGGAATGAGGGGCCTTTTTAGCATTTAAGCCAAGATTAATCACAATGGGGCAGTGGTCGGACCCCATCCTAGTTTCATGCAGCACCGCAGTTGAGGGAAAAAAGGCACTTCAGTCTGAATTAACCAATACTTTATCAATCCGCTCTTGGACATTGGCTACACATGGCCTGTTGTTTGACCATGTAAATTTGGGTCCACTAAAGCACATCGCAATGAGGCAACAGTCAGAAATCAACTGTTGCAATTCCTCAACCCTCCTTATACTACTAACAACACCCCCCTCTTTATCATCCAGTGATCCAATGTTGTTGAAGTCCCCTGTAACTAACCAGGGCAAGTTGATGGACCTTGCTATATTGGTCAGCCGTTCCCATATCTTCTTCTTTCTTTCGGCCAACGGGTCTGCATAGACAAAGGTACAGTGCCAAAAGTCCTGTTGATGGTTAAGTCTACCTCTTACGTTGATTAGATTTTTGGATTTATCCAGGATCAGCAAGTTTGCTTCTTCCTTCCACCATAATGCAAGTCCGCCAGAAAGGTCCACAGGCTCCATATACTTGAAACAGGGAAAATTTAAATTTCTTCTCAACCGCTCCAACTTATCAAACTTGTTTTTAGTCTCCATAAAAAAGACGATTGAGGGGTGATGGGTGGTGATAAGCCCTTTTAGATTACGGACTGTCCAGGGTCGCCCTACTCCTTGACAGTTCCAAGTAAGCATTAACATGAATCGTGTGGCTATTTGAGGTCAACCACCACCACCTTATCAGCATAACTAGTGTCATCACCCTCATCAGAAGTTTTCCTAGAGGATACATCTATCCAGATTATTCTCACCTTTCCCTTCATTGAGACCATTGTAGCCCTCAACCAGATCATGTTGCATTTGTTCCTCTTCATTCTCAAGACAGGCAAATTGTGCTTCAGAGTTCATCAGGCTTTCTCCGCTCACCTTTTTCTTGGGCTTACTTCTCCTAGCCCGTTCTCTTAAGGCATGCTTTCTTCCAAAGTTAATAAGGGACATATCAATAACAAGTGGAGGGCTGGAAAAAGGTAGTGATAGATGAGGTGCACTTGGGCCACTGTCCGAAAATGCTTTAGGTTTTTTTCATGGTATTGGATGGGTTTCCATAGTCTCATCATCTAGTTGGGCTTTCCTCTTAAGCGTCATACTTTGGAAGTAGGTCTTCATATCAACATCCCTATCCTCCTCCTCACTATCAGTGATTATGTGGACCACTTTTTCATTGACCTCTTGGGCTTCTGGGCTCTCTGTGGACTCATAGACATAGTAGGATCCCCTCTTGGTTGCTACAAGAATGTTCGGATCTTCTTGGGATAAAAACAAAGAAAGGGATAAAGACAAATCCCAATCTTGGTCCCCACCAGCATAAGGTGCCACTGGGAGGGGTGGTGCATGGCACTGTGATCCGTTTTTCTGTTCCAGACTGGTATTAGCCTCATTTTTGACATGGGTTCTCAGCACATCATCTTCCCGGTTTATGGGTGCCTCAAATGATTCTCCACTATCTTTCCTGTCCCCTTCCTGACCCCTCCACTTTCTTAGTTCAACCTCTCCATCAGCTTCCTGCATTTTACCTTTGAGCTTGTCCTTCTTCTCCAATGTCTCGCATTCTCTTAGGGACCAAGTTTCTCTGAAGAAGCCCCCTAGTTGAGTGGATTGCGCTCGTAGCTCCGGCCCGAAGTAGCTATTGGACCTAGACGCCCTCCTGTCCTTGCAATGACTTTGAGAATGGCCAACTCGACCACATTGGTAGCAAAAATCAGACAATCTCTCAAATTTCAGACTAATCCAGATATCATCTTGATCGTCCCGAGTCAGGAAAAAACCCTTTTTAAAAGGTTCATTCAAATTGATCCTACACTTCACCCTCAGAAATAGGGTGAGAGCTCTCTCCATTGTTTAGGATTTTTCTAAGGTTTTATTGTCATTTTTATTTTCTCGAGGCAGATCTCTTCGTCTTCTCAGCACTACTCACTCCTTTCTCATGATTTCAACTTTCCTAACCCTTATTTACTTCTTCTAGATTGGAACAGTCCACATTCTCCCTTTCTACGCTATATCTGTATGTATCACTTCCCCCAAGTTATAGCTCAAATCGAACATTTCACAGTAGGGATCCTTGTGATTACGCCCAAAAAAAGTTACTACATACTGATTGTCTCCCTCTTCTCTTTTTAGTCTAAAAAAAACTCATTTAATTATAATTTTTAGTACAATATGTTCACTTTTCATATAATAAAAACGTTTAACGTATAAAATTTTATTATTTTTTAATAATTATAAATTATTCAAATCAAAATTAAACTAGTATAGCTCAATTTCGTCAGGGTGCCTTTACGGTGTTGTAGTCTTATCCTTGGTCAATGGGCCACCGAGCAAAAAATTCTAATGTAGGGACCTGCTTGTCTGGCAACTTTGAAGTGATCATAAGAAGTGCTGTTTTTAACTTTCTTTATGATTGAATACATTCAATCAAACTCTATGTTAACGAGGGGTCTGACAAATTTTAATGTAAATATCGATTAATACAATAAAGCTTTCTTTGTGGGCTTCGGACAGATTGTATAGAAAGCACACAACCTAAGACAAAATTTAATGAGTTTTATAAGACAGCAATCTCACAAGATTGATTTAAGACTCTTTCAAGTGTCGTAATCTCACAATTATGATCAGATGTTTGATTGTATAAACAGAAACAACACATGATTTAAAATTTTATTAAATAGAAATATTCAACAAGCTATTGTTAATCAATTTTGAAGTGGTTCTAGACTCAAAAAATTATGCATTTGACAACCACCTTTTAGATATTTATATTACGACCCAATAAAATTATGTGCACCAAATCATCTATAATTTTGAATCAATGATGAGACCACTGATCTGACGACCACAGATGATTTAGTTCATATTTTGACGACTATAGACGAAACCAAGGGACATCGACAAAATAAGATGTCTTATGCCAAATGGTTGTTTTGCAACTTCATTTTGCTTATATATTAGTATTTAACTATGCTTCAATGTCTTATGAAATCGTGATTTGAATCTTGGTTTTTTTGTTACGACAATATTATAAGAGAGATACAATAAGGTTTGAACCAATGACTTTAAAATTCAACAGTAATAGCGGTGTGATCATTAAACCAATTATTAACTTCGACCTTGACTTGTTATTGTGAAAGTACATGTGTAAAAAATACAAAAAATATATTTTAATAGAAAAAAAATTTGTATTAAAAAAACTTGAGGCGCTAGGCGAGGGCGCTACTATGCCCCCGCTGCTCTGCTGCTGTTGGCCTCTGACCATGTAAAAGAATCGAGGCTTGGGGTCTTGTATATAGTGGTTTATTTTGTATTAAAAAACAAAAAAGAGGGTGAAGAGCACGTAAGGGAGGGGGTGGGGGGGCGAGAGAGAGAAAGAAAGGGGGGACCGTATACGAAAAAAGTACACGGTACTGTCCGAACACATCCACGGACACATTCACAGAGGAAGTGGGTCCTACGTTGGTCAATTCCCAACTACAGCAACGCTTCTGTTTCTGTTTTCTGTTGCAGCGCCCTCGTGGCCTTCCTCATCGCTGCCTTGCCTGTGCTCCATAAAATGACTAAGCTACCCTTTTCATTTAGAGTAATACTAGTTAGACCTAAAAATTTGACCTAATTTACTGACATAATGATGTGGTTTCATAGAAATTATTGGATCAACACCAAGTTTTAATGTATAATGGGATTTACATTGAATTCAAAAATTACAGTGAATTAGATCAACAAATTAGGTTTCAATAGTATTGCTATTTCATTTAAGTGCACACTGATAGGACTCAGAGTCGCTCATTGGCGAAAGTACCCTTTTGTTGTATTCTTATTTGTATTTCTAATTTTACCAATGTTTCTATTTATATGTTTAAAACTTTTTGTACTTTCATTGAATTAGTCCTTTACACTCTAAAATTTCTTAACAAACTTTTTACTTGTTAAATTCTACTTTAATTTCATCAATCAATAATATACAAGTGTGCCAACAAGGAGAGTAAGAAAGAAGTGTGGTGCACCAACAATTGTGGGTGAATAGTGTCGTGGAGCATTGGGTCAGTGGTGTGAAACTGTGTATTTGTGCATGTGTGAAAAAAAAAAAAAAAAGATGTCGACTAAGAAGAAAAAAAATATTCATTGCGTCATACACACCAATAAAAAATTGTCACAACAATAAATTATAGGATACACGAGTTAATTTTTTTTAAAAAAAAAATTAACAAAATGATATGTAACATCATTATATTATGAACGTACAATATTATATTTTATGAGTGATGTATAGTGATTGACAGATTTTTTCCTTAGAAGAAGACGAGAGAAAAATTTCGATTTTGATCCCTTTTGAGCTTAACTGTCTGCTGTTGATTGATTGTTGCAAAACAGGAGATTTAGAGCTAATTCTTTGAGCGATGTCAAACCACTGCAAAGAGATATCTGGAATGTATGTTCACAGATTAGTTCAGCTCATTTCCTTTTTGTCAAGAGATCTGTTAATCATTTAGCTCACTTAGTTGTTCATCTAACCAATTGTGGGAGTCTTCCTGTTGACTAGTTTTTGAATCCTCCACACTTCCAGTGTTGCAACTGATCAGCATGATGTTCGCAAAGGCATAGGATAGTTCACTGTGCTTGTGATTTTTTTTTGTATGTTTATTCTTTTGTAAGCTTGTTTTATGAATGACAAAAAACAAAAGAGCTGATCCGTAAAGAATTTTTAATTAATACGAGGGGAAATGAAGGGAATAGGCAGACAGAGTTTAATAAAACTAAAATGGCATTCCAGATATTAAAATGAAATACGAGGAGGGACAATGAAGAGAAGAAATAGGTAGAGGTCGCCACTCGCCATCTTCATACGTACCCCCGTCTGTCTCCCCTTATGTAGATCTTCGCACGTTACGATTTAAGAGGACGAGAGAGAGAGAGAGCTTCTCCGTAAGTTCCATATGCTAACACTGCTCCACTAGAAACCACCTCCTCTCTCTCTCACTCTCTCTCTTTCTGTGTCTCTATGTAGCTTTTTGAGATTTCTCTGCAACTCTCTTGGCGTTGCTTCACCTTCCTAAGCAGAAATTTCACGCCACGCCTCTTGAAGCTCATCCATCGCGGAAATGGCGTATGTTCGTCGATTTCTGTTTTCTCTGTCCAACCTCTGAATGTCTCAGAAATGTGGTGAAAGCTACTGATCTTTGCTTGACACAAATAGTGCTTCACATGGCCACATCATTCACATAGTGGAGTTCGTATGGGACGTTCTACTTTCATTGTGCGGACGAAATGTAGTTCAATCACTAGAATGTTCAAGCTTGCAAGAGTTAATTATTTCTCTTAATTTGTATATCTCGACAAAAAAAACAAAAAATTTGGGGGTTTTTTGGAATGTACAGTTAGTTTTCGAGGTGCTAGAGGTTCAGATTTGATGAAACTTTAGAGTATTTGTTTCGATTGATGGGGAAATTTCACTGGTTTAAGCAAATTGGCAACAACGGCAAGCTCGAGAGGCGACTCTCTCTAGGAGAGTACAAACGAGCGGTGTCATGGTCCAAGTACTTGGTCTCGTCTGGTGCGGAGATAAAAGCGGAGGGAGAAGGGCAATGGAGTGCCGATATGTCACAGCTATATATAGGGAATAAATTTGCTTCAGGAAGGCATAGTAGGATATATAGGGGAGTATATAAGCAAAGGGATGTGGCAATTAAGCTTATAAGCCAGCCTGAGGAGGATGGAGACTTGGCTGCTTTCCTGGAGAAGCAATTCACTTCGGAGGTTGCATTGTTGTTTCGATTGCAACATCAGAATATCATCACTGTAAGCTCTGTTTCCTTGTGTGCGAAGATTTGGTTTTGTTAATGTCTATGAATGCGCTATTGGTAATGGTAATTAGGATATATGCTATTTTGATTGTATGCTGATTCTTAATGGTTGGATGAAACTTGGTTCGAGTGGGTTACAGGGATTGAATTTTAATTGCTTCATTTTGCTTGGCAGTTCAGTGGAAGTCTTAAATTCACAAGAAACTTAGGACAAATAAGTCTATGTGACTATATATCTATATACACATGCTCACATAAATGCATACATATTAGGTTGTTTAAGCTTTAAAATTTTGTAATTTTTGTGCATTTTATGATGATTTCAGTGTTGTGCAATGACTACATATGTATCACCTTTTTTTTTTCTTTTGAATGCTGCCTTCAGCTTTTGGTTGGGAATTGGGATCACTCTACTTTCAGATAGAATTAAAAAATGCTTATTTTCATTATTAGCTATTCTAATTGGTCAGTTTTCATGAGTCATCAGATCTTGTTCCCATTATTTACTGCCTGAGTGCATCATCCACTTCTCTTTCCCTTGCCCTTGCACTTCTATTTGTTTCCATTGAGAATGCTCTGTCGATTTATATTAATTATGGCACACCAATAAAGTGGAAGGAACTTTAGCTTTTTACTACATTTTTGAGCCATATATAGATACAACCTAGTTGCTGTTTCAAATGGCAACATCTCAATTGTGATGAAGATGCACATGAAAATCAGAATTTTTTATTCACTTTACTGCAAAAATTTCCTCAATCGACGATTGGCACGTAACAACATTGGATATTTTTATGGATCTAAAATTCCTGTTCAAAATATTTGATTGTTCACGAACAACTAATGATTTATGTATTATGATACAGAATTACAGCAAATGTCCCACCTTTAAAGAAAAAATCTGCTTGCTGTTTGCTAGAAACAGTTGTGAATTTGGTAAAATCAGTGAAATTGCTTGATATTGTTTGATTTCATGATTAATGACAGTGAACTTGTTGGTCGTAATATTTAGAAAACTCTACTAGCATATCATATGGTCATCTATTTGACCATTCATTACTATTCCATTTCATTTACGCAGTTTGTTGGTGCATGCAAGAAACCCCCTGTATTTTGTATCATTACCGAGTACTTGGCTGGGGGCTCTCTGAGAAAGTACCTCCATCAGCTGGAGCCATATTCACTTCCCCTTGACCTAGTTCTAAAGTTGGCCCTTGACATTGCGCATGGGATGCAATATCTTCATTCTCAAGGGATACTTCACAGGGACCTTAAATCCGAAAATCTACTGCTTGGTGAAGATATGTGTGTAAAAGTGGCAGATTTTGGTATCTCATGCTTGGAATCTCAATGCGGCAATGCAAAAGGATTCACAGGTACATACCGTTGGATGGCGCCAGAAATGATCAAAGAAGAACACCACACAAAGAAAGTTGATGTTTACAGTTTTGGGATTGTCTTGTGGGAGCTTCTGACCGCGTTGACACCATTTGACAACATGACCCCAGAACAGGCTGCTTTTGCAGTCTGCCAGAAGGTATATTCCTTGCGGTTGTATTGGTATCATTTTCTTAGTTTTATCAGATGGGAACATGCCACTACAAAATTCTTTCCCCCAATAAGTTCATCCAATGTGCTCTCATATTTCTTCTTCATTTGTTTATCTTCATGGTCTGTATGCATCATCTTGTGGAGGGATTGCATGTTAAAGATTATAATTTTTTGGAAATGATGAAAAAGAAAAACTAGATCATAGTATCCTTAAGCAGTTATAGGCCATGGGTGTGATTCATGAACTGATAAAATAATTGTTCAATGAAGAAAATGTAGTAAATAAAAGAAACATCAAGATGAACTTAAACAAAGGAGAGTAAAGCTTCTTTGTTGTCCTCGGGGTGAAACTCTTTAATGGAGCTGCCTAATGCATCTATTGAGCATAAAAAGTTCAAAGAGCAGTTGATTGATTAGTGTTTCCTGCTGTTAACTGTAACCATTTCCGGGAAGTATATGCCTATAAGAAGGACTTACTTGTATTCCTAAAATAGAATGAAGGATGGTGGAGATGTTTTTTGTCTATTGCCAGATGAAGGATGGTGACAATCAACTTCATTGTCAGATTTTTTGAGGTTTCCAGGTTTTCCCAATAGCCATGACAAATAGAGCTTCAGAAGATCTTGTGAAAATTGACAAATGATTCGAAGTCCCGAATAGTTAAAATTAATAGTATGCAAATGCTACTTTGAGGGCCCACTCGATCTAAAGCACACCCATGTCATTTATTGCAAGTCTTCTTGGCTTTTTTCAGCGTGATTAATACATTTCAAATTTTATAGCCTGCATTTGAATGATGATATGCCCCTATGCTTGGGCATTGGCTAACAATTGGTTGAGAAAGATGCGTTCTGTTAGTTTTGGTTTTCTTAGTTTTCCATACAACAACTTGATAATGATGGCATTTGTTTCTAGCATTTCTTCCTCATTATCTGCTGGCCAATCTGGTTTCTAGTCTGTGGAACAATACCAATAACTTTTTCCTTTTGAGCTTGTAGATAACAGAAATCCTGTTTAGCTACTAGCAAAATCTAATGATGAATATCAGAATATTAAGTACATATATATAAAATGCTGCAGAAGTTTTTGACATCTGAGCTTCTCCTTTGTTAGAAAATCTCATGAGAATGAATTCTTTACAGGCATCCAATCAAAGTTTTGAGAACTACACAAACACACAAGTCAAGGTTGAGGATTCCCAATAAGTTAGTGTAGTTCTCAAACTTTGATTGGCTGCCAGTAAACATTTGATTTAAAGGCTTGCCTGTAAAGGACTTAATTTCAAATCTCATAGTTTTCATTCCTGTAAGCTAATTGTGGTTATGGTCTTATAGGGCAGTAATATTTGGGGTGCATTTGTAGTCTACCCCACATTTTGCGGTGAGCTATGGCTGTACTGGATTATCACTTGGTAAATGATAAAAGTTCAAATATTTATGTTGAGCTCTTTCTGTAGCTCTCATTTTGCTTGGTTTCTTTTTTTTTTTTACTTGGCAAATGTTTGTTTTTATTCTACTCTTTTATTCATGCAGGAAGGTTCTCTTTTATGAAGTACCTGAATATATTGAACTAAGTGGAACATAGTATGAAAAATGATTTACTATATATTTGCTTATCTTACCTTCACCTGACCAGCCCAAAAAGATATGAACAAATATAATCGCGAACAAGAATCTCAAGGAGCAATTAAGAACACAACGGATGACTTATCAACCAGTCGCCCCTAAAAAAAAAATTACAAAAGTTTGCTGTTTCACATTTATTCATGCCTGGCATAAAGGCATGAAAGAATATCGGACCATGAAAAAGTTCAAGGTGCAGGCCTTGATTTGCTCATCCCTTAAATGAATTCAGAGCAATGGTGTAGTGTGTAGGTGTGGTGTGTAGTTTTTGTAATCTCCTAAAATGACTAAAAAAAAAAAAACCTTGACTGCATACATAGCTTCAGTTGAAAGGGAAAAAGAAAACCATCCAATTACCACATTTCCTACATTTATGTGCATTTTTTGGACCGAGTTCTAGTGCAAGAGGATAAAACCTGTAATACTGTTTTCGACACTTGTATATCTTATAGGGCACATTTATTCACTCTACAGCTTCTTAATTTCTTTTACACTACATTGGTTTTAATTGTCTGCAGAATGCTAGACCACCTTTACCCTCTGCGTGCCCTAGGGCGTTTTGTCATCTCATTAACAGGTGCTGGTCTAGTAATCCCAATAAGCGACCACATTTTGAGGAGATTGTGACAATACTGGAGAGTTATGCGGAGTCTCTTGTGCGGGATCCAGAATTCTTTTCCTCTTATGAACCTCCTGATGATCATACTCTTTTGAGATGCCTACCAAAGTGTATTGCTGCCCATACATCTGCTTCTATAAGAGCATAACAACTCATGTTTTTTCTTGCCTAGGTCTCTGTGTGCAATTATGATTAGAGACTTTTATGTACCAATATGTTTATTGTCTGTAAGAATATGTTGATAGTTTCTTTCAGTGTTATGCTATTGATTTCTCTCCAAATTTTTGTGGGTGTCAAAAACTGAAACTCCTTTTGTTTGCTTTTCTGATTATATTAGGCTTCTTGTTTTACTCCTGCTTTTTTTGCTGTTGTCTTCTTGGTCCCAAGGTTTATGGGGCTTGCAGTTAAAGTTATTTGTTCTCGTACTCTACAGGGAGTTAGATTTTCTCCAGTATACTTTATCTTAATAGTAAATCTGTAAATCATGTTTTGAGGAGGGTTTGAATTGGCTTTTTTAAACCCTTTCAAACTCAAACTCTTCTCTACAAAGATGAGATTTAATATTAAATCTAGTTCATACTTATATTTGGTATGCAACACATACACATGTAGGTTGAACAGATATATCATAATTATTAATAACTATTTATCCTGTAAATGATCATTTTGTCTCTTGATCAATCCAATTGATACCCATATTAAAGATACAATTATAATTTGTATTCTTAATTTCTTAACTCATCTTTCTAAATTCATCCCTCCCCTTATATTGAATTTGTAATCCAAACATGGGGGTTTGAGAGTCCTTTAAACTATTTTCACCAAACCAATCTTACCAAGCCCCCTATACTCCCTTACCAAACAGCCCTAAGAGGAATTGCATTGGAGGGGATTTAAATAAAAGAGTAACATTATTAGGACCAAAAAAATTGACCAATTTGTTAACCTAATTAAGCGATTTCATTTTAAGTGTTGGATTAATTCTAAGTTTTAATATTTAATAAGTCTCATGTTTAATCCAATGATTATAATAATTTTTTTTTTTAGTTCAACAATGAGGGGTGTCTAGGCTAACTTATGTGTACCTCGACTAATCTCATCCTGGTCCGGTCTAAGGTAGATCATCTACGCCGAGACTAGCGTATTAATGATGGATAAATTTCTCATGATATGATCCCAATGAATTGCCAAAATTCAAACTCATGACGTTTAAATTTAGAGCTCATCCGTGTTACCACTTAAACTACCATTGAGATTAATGACTATAGTAAATTAAATCAGTAAATTAGATGTTAATAACATTGTTCTAAAAAAAAAAAGTTACACGGTCAGGGATAAAATGTATCATAATGCTTCATTTGATACGATGGAAAAGTGAGATGATGGAAAGTTCGAAGGATGAAAGGTTAGAAGGATAAATAAAACAGAAAGAAAAGTAGAAATGTTGGAAAAGTAGATGGATTAACTTTCCTTTCAACTCACCAAAATCAATTCCTCCAAAATCGGAAGGAAAGTGGATGAAAAATTAATTATTTGTGTTGAGATGTATTTTATTTGTGTGTGTGTATATATATTTAAAAAATTTTAAAAATAAATTTTATAATAAAAAAATTAAAATAAAATTTTAAATTAAAAAAAAATATTTTTTCTATTTTAACTAAGGGTGAAAATTTTCGACTCAACACGATGACACGACTCAAACTCGATACGAAAATAAACAGGTCAACTCGCAACTTGACACGACGCAATTAGTTAAATGAGTTAAGTTATGTTTGACTAATATTTGACACAAACCCGTAATGACTTAACTCAAATCTCACACGACATGATACGACTCGATTCGATTGTCACCCCTAATCTTAGTCAGCACAAAAAAAAATAGTTATTTTTATTTTTCATCTATTCAACCAAACACAAAGAAAGAAAATTGTATCATTTTTACTTTTCATCCTTGAAGAATAGAAAATATATCTCTCTTACTTTTTATCCTCCCTACCAAATGAAACATTAGGTTTGCTTATTAATTGTCTGGCCGTTAATCGACTAATCTCTTGGGTTTTGACCCAAAGAAAAAAGAGTACTCATGGGTTAAAGCCTTGTATTATAGCCTATCCTGTTTTGTTTTTAAGGTATTATAATTTTGAAGTTCAATAGTTAAAGAAAGACAGTTTGGCCGAGTGGTCTAAGGCGCCAGATTTAGGCTCTGGTCCGAAAGGGCGTGGGTTCAAATCCCACAGCTGTCAGATTTGTTTTTGAAAATTTTATTTTAATTTTTAAATATATAGAAAAAAAATAAAGCAGTCTTCAATAAATCTATCAGATGATCTTAAATAGACTCATTTAATAGTCACTAATATTCCTCTGAAAACTATTCAAAATTCACCTGTACCTGTACCTTTAAACACGAATTAACCAAATAATAGCAAGAAAGAGTTAATTGCTTGTTGTGGCAATGGCACTTCCTGTTCCAAATTATGCAGCAAGATAACAAAGCAGTAGGTGTTATTTGTTGATCTACTACCTATAATATATATTCTATTTTATCAATTTTTTTTGTGTCATTGTTTGAAACTTTTACGGGGGAGGAAATTAATGAGGTTCGAATTCACGACCTAGCGGTTCAATGGCAAGCTATAGAGTCATTAAGCCATCGTTGATCCTCATATTTTATTGATTTAACTCAACAAAATCTCTTCTCAAATATATAGATTAGATGGTTGGCAAAGTGAATTTTATTTGAAAGTCTAAATTTTGTAGCATAACTTGGATTACAACCTACTTTTCCCGAGTGTTTTTGGCAGCTCTGTTTGTGATTTATCAGTTTCTTGGGCTGTTGGGGGTTCACAAGCATGGCACTATATCTAATGTAGGTCACTAAGCTCTATGAGTCACCTTAGTCTCTCTCTCTCTAACACCAACACCCACCCAACCTTCTCCCCCCCCCCCCCCCCCCCCCTCCCCCCCCCCCCCCCTCTCTCTCTCTCTCCCTCTCAAGGTCCACCATCACTACTCAAAGGACTGGTTTTGTCTGAAGTAGAACTAGTGCCCCACAAGTTGGTGAGGAAGAATAGAGACATTACCACATTACCTAATGACAATATTTAATGATTGAGACATTACCTAATCTTCATCCTGGCAATGGATAGACTGTCTCTAACTCTTATACCTATGAGATCTACTTGTTACCCACAATGAGATTTTATCTTTGACTAAAAGTATTTAAAACAATAAGCAAAACTCGTATCAAGATTCATAGGCAATTGACATCTTGGTACTCATGTATGGATAAAATGTAAAAATTTATTTCTGAAATACGTAAAATATGCATTCATAGGATGAACATAGAATCGATATATTTATTATTATTTTTATTTGTTAAAGTATCAAGCTAAAAACTAACTAATATCGAGCAAATGAGAATTCTCAATCATTAAATCAGTGAAATTGTGATTTAATCGAGACCGTTAAATAAATTTATTAAAATTTATCATATTTTATATTATAGATATCGTGGTGAAATAGAGGGGTTATTAATAAGGTTTGTTGTGTATACATATGTCTTGCCTACTGTAGTCGAAGATAGGACTACATGATGTATTATTTTGGGAGACCCACACCCACTTGGGGGAATCAATTTTATTTATTTATTATTGATTGTGCAATTTAAGTATAGTAAGTACCATTATTGTTGTATACCAAATCTGTCCAGCCTTGGGAACAGCAAACTCACTTGCCCCAAAAGTCATGCATGCACCTAATTTGGTCCTCAAAAATATTCCTTTTATTTTTCTCAATTATCGTAGTGTATTAATTAATTTATGCGTCTTTGACTAATTTTTTCTCTACTTCAATCAAAAAAGTCCTTGACTAATTCTTTTCCTAATTTGGTCAAATTCAGATCACCCACGTCGGGACTAAAATATTCACAAAAGATAAATCTCTCATCATCTGACCCAAATGAATTGTCAAAATTCGAATTCAAAATATTTGAATTTATAGCTCGTCTATTATTATCGTTTGAACTAGCATTGAGATTAAAAAATCTCCCTTTCACAAAGTTTATTTGATATAGTTTTCATATTTCAGACCCCCTTAAAATGGCATGTTTGCAATGGTAATACCGGATTGATCCAAATAAATTTCACAACGAACGCGTTATCAATATAATCGAAACTCGAATTACAAAACTTGTATTGTCCATGTCTAAGACGATATCTCATAGTTATGTAATTAAATTTGAGACCTAAGTATGTTAAATAGCATATGTGAGAAACAGTTAAGGTGTGTCAATTCTATATACACATACACTCAAACATATTACGAACAAAAAAAAAATGACACAATGGATAATACAAATAAATGGATCAAGTGACATACGAGGCAATTTTTTAAACATGAAATTAACACACAATTCGAATATAACATGATCCGAACATGATACCACGCATGCCATTGACATCTCTTAAAGACACTGTCCTCCACCAAAGATGGATTGATTGGTGTATAAAGGGGATGGGTGAAAGGCCATGCAAACTAGTAATTGCTTCATGTGCTTTGCCTAGTGTCAATAAGTGCACTATTCAAAACCAGAGCATATGCCAGGGTGAAGTTGAAAGCCAATGGCTCTGGTCCACGAAAAAAAACACAAAATGCATTAAAAGAAGGAACAACTCTCGTATGATGAGTTCGAATTTTGGTGATTTTTTAGAAATAGGTCATGAGAGATTTATTCTTCATAAAGTTCTTAGTCTTAACGTGAATGACATGCCTTTGATCAAATCGAAAAATGGATTAATCGAGATATGCTTAAACTAGTTCGAATATCTCTAACCGTTGAAAAAAAAAAAAAATAGAGCACAAGCTTCTGTTATTGCAATGGTTACTTGAATTGGCCTCCCTTAAACACTCTACATCTTGTCTTTTTTTTTTTTTTCATTCGAAAATGTTTTGATATCACATTCAAGAATCTCATATTCGAAGAAAAAAATAAGTGAAAGAACATTATATTTTATATCCTCAAAATTTATACTTGATTTTTATTTGGTTTGAACTATCAATTAACACAACCCGGTCTTTAAACTTTAAGTTCTATTTCAATTAAGTCTTTTCGTTCAAATTTATCAGTAATTCTAAAGGAAAAGAGTCACACGAACACAACATGATTTAATTATGGGATTAATTTTGAATAAGTTGGGTATAAGGTTAGAGTTCATGTACTTAAATCACACTTCACACAATAATTTATACAAATAAAACAGAGCACTCTGTTATACACGTTGTGCTCCCATAAAACGCAACAACAATCAACTCGTTTGGTGAACGATGTACATTCCTCTTGTGTTACCCTATTCACGACTGAACAAGTGAACGTCTGGCAGCCTTGTACCACACTTGAAATGCAAGTAAAAAGTAAGCTTCAGACTCCGACAGTGTGTCTACATTGCTATGTCCCATATTTCAACCCAGCTGAGATGTAAAAAGTCATACATGACCCAGTCTTATTTTTTTTTTTCGGTCTGAAGAATAAAATTTATTAGATGAGTCATCCTCCAATCTTAGCATTAATCAGGGTCTACACAAATAAAGATTGACCAAAATTAAAAAATTTAATTTGGTTAAATTAGGGTCTCAATTTAATAGAGATGATTAATACCAAATATCGTCGTGTTGCAGACGATAAAACACTATAATTAACACGTAGATAATAAAATTCCGCATAAGAAATCATATCGCACATTTGTGAGTATGACTTTATTGTACAAAATTAAAGTTAAAAATTTATATTTGGTTAATTTTTTTTTTTTTGGCTATAAGGTGTTCAAATTTGTGTTGATTACTCTCTCAAATTCTGAATTAACCACCATAACTTAAGCTAGTTTAAGAACATGTCCCTTGAAAAATAAAGGTTGCCGACTCTTATGGGTATAAGAAGTGTCAAACCAAAGACTTCTTACTTATAAGAGAATTAGTTATTGTCTGTGTCTGAAGGCACAAAGTAATAAAAAATAGTAAACAATAAACATATTTGTATTTATATCCAAAATCAAATCACAAATAGAGAGAATATATAAAGGAATTTAAACATCGTTTTATAGTGGGGGTGAGAGGTGGTGGGCGACAGTGACGGTGGCGGTGGCGGCAACGGCGGTGGCTATGATGGTTTCAAATACTTTTTTTTTTTTAAGTATTTATGAATTATAATTTCTAAAAATACTTTTAAAAAATCACTCCAAACACATTCTTAGGGCTCCTATTTTTCTATTAAATTTAAGATGTTAATATTAGTCGTTAGATTAATTTTAAAGTAAATTTTAAAACAATCTCAACCGCGAATAGTAAAAATAATTTTATTAATCTTTTAAAATTTAAATTATAAATTATTTTATTATATAGATAGACTTGACCACTAATCCACTTTTAAGAGTTAATTAAGTTACGAATCATCCCTCCGAATTCATTAGAATACCGTGATTTGAACTCTAAGAATTCAAAAATCTCTATTGACTAACTAACAAAGTGCTCTTCGCGGTAAATAGAGAGTTAAACTCTTTAAATTTGGCCGTACCGGCTTAGTATCCCCAGCAACACCATAATCCATCAATCAAAATATTGATATGGGGCATATCCGTCATAACAAAGTAAATCCCAATAATAATTTGCCACGTGGAAAATTACAACTAAAGACAGAAACAAACATAAAAGAAATCGGCGGTTGCAGGCTTATAAGTGTTGGGGGAAGAAGTCGCCATCTCTTTTCCTCTGACATTCTACCTCTGCCTCTGCAAACTCATCCCATGAATTTACCATAAAAACTACTCCGACACACCTCTTTCCCATCTTGTCCTCACTCTTCTATTGAAATTCCTCATCCTTTCGTCTTCTTTTGTCTCATCAAACTTTTGTAGTCAGACCCACCAAAAGATTAAATTGTTTTCCCCAGTCAATCTCTCTCTCTCTCTCTCTCTCTCTATATATATATATATATAACACCCAGAGAAACAAAACATCTTGGCTTCTCTCTTTCATGGGTTGTTGTTTCTAAGGTAAGGCTTACTTTAATCTTTCTCTTATGAAATTGTTATCTGTCAGTTCAATCAATTACTTTTTGTTTCAGTTTTTACCCTTTGAATATCTTTTGGGATCACTTGGTGAGGTCAACTATATATTTGTTCCATCTTTTCTTGATTCCTGTCCTTGTTGTCATTTGGGTTTGTGTTTTTTTGGATTTCGTGTACAGTATGTTGGTTTTCTTATGTCGATTTATGTGCCAAGATCTGTTGAAGGAACATCGAGTTCTCTTATTACGTGATTTGTGGATTTGTTATTTATGCATTGGCAGGCACGAAACTTTTATAATTAACTAATAGGAAACTTAGCAACAACATGTGTCACTTTTGTTTGCCATGTGAAATTATTTAGTGTATAGCGTATTTATTGATGTGAGAAGTTTGATTTGTTGATTGAATGTTTGTGGTTCTTTTTGTTGCATTTGTGCAGTTAATTAGTTAGGTATTGGGAGATATTTGTTGAGTTGCATACCTTAAAGATGCCTGGATTGGTTATGGATGAGATTCATGAGGAGGGCGTAGTGAATGAATTGAACGGAAACGGAAACGGAAATTCTACACCTCTTAAGGAGAATTCAGTTGCAAATAAGTCTCCAACGAACAGTTTGAGTCCCAAAAGTCCCCAGACTGCAGGCATTGGATGCCCAATTGATGGAGTAGTTGACACCTCGATTGAACAGCTTTATGATAATGTGTGTGAAATGCAGAGTTCTGATCAATCACCATCAAAGCGTAGCTTTGGATCTGATGGGGAAGAGTCTAGGATTGATTCAGAGTTGCGTCATCTTGTGGGAGGAGAGATGAAGGAAGTGGAGATAATGGAAGCGGATGAAGAGGTACGAAAGTTGGAGGATCATGAGAATCGTAGTGATTCTGGTTCTAAGAAGGAAAGCATGTCGACAAGTAAGAAGTCGGGGAAGTTGGATAACACCCAGTCGACAAGTACAAAATCTCTTTCTCCAACGCAATCAAAGAAAGCTTCTCACTTGCAGCTGGAATCAGAAGCATCATCAAAGTCAAGTCCTAAGGGAAGAAGTCCCCAAGAGAAGCCTCCTTTAGATAAGCAGAATGAGAAGAATTTGAGAAAATCAATTTCAGGAGGCATCTCCGTGAAGAAACAAAGGAATTCTCCTTTAGGAAAGTTACAGAATGGGACTGAGGATGCATCTGAATCAGGTCTAGACAACCCAGACCTTGGACCATTTCTGCTTAAGCAGGCACGGGATTTGATTTCTTCAGGGGATAATCCCCAAAAAGCTCTTGAATTAGCTCTACGAGCTGCCAAGTCATTTGAGAAATGTGCTAATGGAAATCCCAATCTCGATGTTGTGATGTGCTTGCATGTTACAGCAGCTATATACTGTAACCTAGGCCAGTATAGTGAGGCCATTCCAGTACTTGAGCATTCCCTTGAGATTCCTGTGATTGATCAAGGCCAAGATCATGCCCTTGCTAAGTTTGCTGGTTATATGCAGTTGGGAGATACTTATGCCATGTTAGGTCAACTTGAAAATTCTTTACTCTGTTACGGAACAGGTTTGGAAGTCCAGAAAGGAGTTTTGGGAGATACAGATCCAAGAGTTGGTGAGACTTGCAGGTATTTAGCTGAAGCTTATGTTCAAGCATTGCAATTTGACGAGGCTGAGAAGCTTTGTCAGCTGGCTCTTGACATCCATAGAGAGAATGGTTCTCCTGCTTCCCTCGAAGAGGCTGCAGATAGGAGGCTCATGGGTCTTATATGTGAAACAAAGGGAGACCACGAAGCTGCCCTTGAGCATTTTGTTTTGGCTAGCATGGCCATGGTGGCAAATGGGCAGGAAGCAGAGGTTGCATCTGTTGATTTAAGCATTGGAGACACCTATTTATCTTTGGCTCGGTATGATGAGGCTGTTTTTGCCTATCAAAAGGCACTAACATCCTTCAAGTCCACCAAAGGGGAAAATCACCCTGCTATTGCTTCTGTTTTTGTCCGTTTGGCTGACTTGTATAACAAGACAGGTAAATTTAGGGAATCAAAATCCTACTGTGAGAATGCCCTTCGAATCTATGGAAAGCCCATTCCTGGGATCCCCCCTGAGGAGATTGCTAGTGGTTTCACTGATGTTTCTGCAATTTATGAGTCCATGAATGAGTCTGAACAGGCGCTAAAGTTGCTGCAGAAGGCACTGAAGATATACAATGATGCCCCTGGTCAGCAAAGCACCATTGCAGGTATTGAGGCCCAGATGGGAGTCATGTACTATATGTTAGGGAATTACTCTGAATCTTACAGCTGCTTCCAGAATGCCATTTCAAAGCTTCGTGCTTGTGGAGAGAAGAAATCTGCATTCTTTGGTATTGCCCTTAACCAAATGGGGCTTGCATGCGTGCAGCGTTACGCAATAAATGAGGCTGCAGAACTGTTTGAAGAGGCTAAGAGTATTCTGGAACAGGAGTATGGACCACATCACCCAGACACGCTAGGGGTGTACAGCAATCTTGCTGGTGCTTATGATGCTGTAGGCAGGTATGCAAACTCTCTCATTCCTGCAGTTTTCTATATTGGCATCTTCAATCCTACTTGTGAAATTCAAAATGTTCATTCCTTAATGCAATGAGGGTTGTGGAAACCACATGATGCTCCATTAAGTTTTAGGTGAAGTATTTGCAACTAAGGTTAGAATTGCTCAACTTTCTTCTTTCGTATGTAAATATGCACCCGATTTACTATTACAGGCTTGACGCTAGGGATTTACCTTTTTCGGTGTTAAGTTGTATTGCAACAAGATTCAAACTGACTTGAGTGGTGTCATGTGTATTTCAAGTCACGAGTTTTTCTTGCTTGGTAGAGTCCAAACTAGAGGAAGGTTAGGGTTGCTGTGTCTATTGTTATTAGTGAGCAACTAATTCAGATGGGAGGATCAGTAGGTAGAGCTCTTTCTTGAATGCCTCATGATATGTGTTTCTTTTTATAGGTTGGATGATGCAATTCAAATCTTGGAATATGTTGTTGGGATGAGAGAGGAAAAACTTGGGACAGCAAATCCAGATGTGGATGATGAAAAGAAGAGGTTATCTGAGTTATTAAAGGAGGCAGGCAGGGTTCGAAGTAGAAAATCCAGATCACTGGAGAATCTCCTTGATGCCAACCATCATACCACTAACAAAGATGGCATTAAGGTATGATAATGATGTTTATACGCTTGGGGATGATGTATTATATGGCATATTTATTGAAGTAAAAGAAAAAAAGGAAGGAAAAAGTATAGGTGGTGGTTGTATTGATTAGATTGTTGGTGTGGGAGCTGAATGAAGTGACTTCATGGTCCAGTTCCAGTTATGATATTGAATTTGTATTACTGTATTGTTAAAGTTGTTCTTTCTGTATTACATTGTTAAAGTTATTGGTGATATCATTTGTATATTATTATCCCACAAGTTGATGATGTCTTTGCATTATGATGACTTGATTTCTCCATAGCTGTTTCCATTTGGACACGTCTCCTTGTGTTGATACTTGGAATGATGTTTTTGATAGTGGCAGATGCAAAAATCAGTATCATTTCGCATTTTTGCAGTGCAAAATGGTTTAGGTGATCAAAATTTTAAATCCACCACTTCTGTGTAGACTGAGACCATTCATTCAAACTACTTTCTCTGTCAATGAGAGAAAATATATTGTTTCCAAGTTTTGGAAATGGAAAAAAAAGCTTTAACTTTATGGAAATGTGCGGTTTTGGCTGTTTTTTGAGTGGTTTGGATCGAGAGGAATTGTATAATTTTTGGAGAAAATGATGAGGAATTGCTTGGGGATAGAGTGATGTTTTTGGCATCTTTATGGGTTGTGATTACCAATGATTTTCGTGACACTTCTCTATTAGCTCTCCAACACAATTGGGAAGTTGTTTTTAGCTCATAGCTTGTTTGTTAGTGTGATTTTTGCACTCTTTTGGTCGATTTCATTTTGCATAAACTATTTATGTATTTTTATATCTTTCTATGAAATGAATGTTTTTGTTTCTTATAAAAAAAAAATTGTTTCCAAGTTAGCACTGATTAAGAACTTTCAATTTAATTGAGTAGAATGTGGACAGTTGTTTTTTTTTATTCTCTGCATGTGTGGAAGTTTTCAGAAATGATTGTAAACTGAATGGAAATTTCATTGTTTTCTCTCCATTTGCTATCATATTCATGAATTTTATCTATAGTTTCCGGCTGAGAATTCATTGAGAACATTGATTTGATCGAGTAGGTAGTCCGTTTTACTTTCCAAACATCTAAGTTGTGTTTGATATAACTTCTCAAAGTAAAAGTTCCTTTCACAAATGAACTTTTATAATCTGGATTTTGTAAGATGAAATTTTTTAGAAATATGGACCGTTTGGTAAACATATATTATAAAAGAGATCACATTATTTTTAATGTACATGGGGATCATAGTGGATCGAGGCAGGGGCAAAGGGAGTAGTCTTCATTTTCATCGGAAAAAATTTTAATCTCCGTCTCCACCCTGCGAGTAAATTTTGATTCTTATCTCTGCCACCGTCCCTATTCATAGCAATTAATTTTTATGATTTTAAGAAAAATTTAAAAAATAATAATAATACCTTACAAATGGTTCTACAAGAAAAATGAAATTTCATTATATAACAAATAGATCAAAAAAAATAAAGAGAAAACAATTTTCTTTTTGGCTAAAGGGAATAGTTTGTGGGTTTTGTGATATTATATATACCTATTAATAAGTTGGTGAAAAGGTGAGTTTCGTGAAATTTCAAACGAGTTATATCATATTTTGACATTCTAATAAAAAAGAGTTTAAAATTTTATCCATCCATCATTCCGATAACAATTTTATATAGGAAGAATTATACTCAGATCTATTGAAGTTTGTATGCGCATAATACTTAGACCCATGCCATAAAATATATATGTTAATAAATTATATTTAGACCCCCTTAAAATTTGTAGGTATATAATACTTAGACCCCTTAAATTTAAAACATTATACTTAGACAAAAAAATATTCCAATCAAAAATATTTTATTGAGATAAAATTAAAAATAAAAATTTAATTTTTTCTTAATAAATCGTAATTAGTATATAATTATACTATCTATTGGAACAAAAAAAATCAAATAAGGGATCTAAGTCATTCATAATAGAACTTGAATTTTACATCCAAAATTCATGTTCTATTATATCATTTACTGAAATAAAATCAAAAATAAAACTAGTATATAAAAATGTTACCCCTTGTTTAATAAATCGTAATTAGTATATAATTATATTATCTATTATAATAAAACTAAAAAATTAAACAAGGGGTAAAATTGTAATAGACACAATATCTTTTAGCTTTAATTAGTGTAGTTTGATATTTTAATTTGGTTGTTTAAACGGCCAAATTAAATTCCAACTGATAATATAATTGTATACTAATTACAATTTTTTTTAAAAAAAATGAGTTTTTATTTTTAATTTTATTTCAATAAATAATACAATAGAATATGAATTTTATTTGTAAAATTTAAAATATTTGATATTTTATCTTTAATTGAAATATTTTTTATTTAAATTTAAGGATTCTAAATAATATATGTTTACAAATTTTAGGAGGTATGAGTATAATTTATTAATTGATATATTTATAATAAGGGCTAAGTGTTATGTACGTATAAATTTTAAGGAGTTTGTGTGTAATATTTTAAATATTATATATGATTAAAAGACAAACTTCGAGAAATTTCTAATTTTAATTTTTTTTCAAGACACGAAAACAAAAATATTATCAAAAGATCCCTTAATTCTACTTAGGGATGGTAGTGGACCAGGAAATAACGGGTATTCGTCCAAACCCGTCTCGTTGGGACCGGAGATGGACTATATGTATTGGACGGTAAATATATATGGAGACACCCGTATAACCCCGTACGGGGATAAAGACGGGGATGAACTTACCCTTACTCCCGCTACTCGTTAAATATATATATAAATAAATAAAAATATTCTCAAGTCCTACCTAAAAATATTTATTGTAACTATCAATCTAAAAATATGGTAATCAAACTAAAAAATGACATTGCTATGTGGTAATTTTATAAAATTTTTTCCTTAATTATTTTTTTTTTCTATTTGTGCTCACTGATTGAAACTGTTAGGAGTTTGGATTGATCATGCTCTAAAAACAGATAAGAGAAAATAAGATAATTTTGCATTTCATCGTGAGTAGATATATTGTGAATGGAGGTTGCTGAGTTTCTCCATTGGAGTGAACTAATAAATGGGGAAGATTATTGAATTAGCGAAATTTTAAATTTTCATCTTTTAACACTTTATGGATGTAATATGAACTGTAATAACAAAAATTCTTTTAAGAAATTTCAAGTGTAGTGCTATCGTTTTTTTAGTTCAATTTTATTTTATTTTTCTTCCTTTATCTCTAATAGTTTAGTTTTTCTTTTTGTGTCCAATGACATTTTAAATAGAATACTATATTATTTTGACTTTTATATTTTATATTATGTTGTGTTAGACTATGTTGGAATGCTGTTGAATTATTTAAAATATTAAATTTATTTAAAAATTTGAATTATGCTCCTTGGGATTGAGCTTAAGCAGGTATGGGGGAAACAAGGACGGGGACGGGGATTAGATATTTACTCAAGAATAAAAATGAAAATAAAAATTATATCCATTAACAGGATGAACGAGAGATAAACAAATTTTTTTTTAAGTAAGTATAAGAATAAATTTTATATTCTCTGCCCCAGTGTCGGTTTACTGACAGCCTAATTCTACTTAGACATCCATCATTCATAATTCTACTAGACATCCATCATTCCTGTGTTAGAGGCCGCTTCCTGTTCATCTCTTTTTACTGTTTTTTCCTTTTCCTCCTTCACTTTTGGCTCTCTCTCACCAACGCCAGCGACATTGCCTGAGCTACCGCTACCGCCACCGCTCTCCTATTCTCCCAGGTATCCCTCTTTTCTTCTTCTTCTTCTCTCTCTCACACACACGCAGATAATACCCCTAGCCCCCAGCTCTCCCTTTTTACGAACAACCCCCTTCTGCGCAAACCTCACCCTCTCCTCTTATAATGTCTTTGCACAAACCACCCCATACACACAAAAACAAATACAGCACACACGCACAAAACACCCATACCCACACACTCACACACTCGCGGGTTTTCTCTCTTAGCCTACCAGTGCCACCGTCACCAGCAAAGCACCACTGTCACCGTCATAGCACCACCATCACAACCACACGGTACCACTGTCAAGACCACACAACCATCTTCCAGGTATTTATCTCCCTCCCCTCCCCTCCCCTCCCCTCTTCTCTTTCTGTTTCTCACCGAAATGTTTGCTGAGATGCCCAAAGCCCAGACCCCAATCATAATGCCCATGACGTGTTTGTTGAAATGCCTAAGGGACAAGCACAAGCAAAATCACACCCACACCCTACTGCTGTCTGCAAGCACATCCGTCTGCCACCCTCTCCCGCCTTCCTTCTACCCTTCTCATACACAAACAGAACACACCCAAATCCCCCAGCCTTCACACACACAGACCCACACAAAGCCTCTCGGCCAACACAGAACCACACGCAAACAACACACACACACACACACACACACACACACACACATGCAACCCACTCGTCTGCCACGCACACATACTGTGAGTTTGGGTGTATTTTTTCTACCATTTTAAATTTTTTAATGCAATTTTGAATGTGATATGAATTTCGTGACTGGGTCAATTTCGAGGTAGTTAATTTATGGACAGTGAATTTTGTGAATTGAAGTGTTAGCTGAAATTGGGCTATTAATGTGTTGCTATTGTGTTTTTGCTTTTGAACATTCATGATGTCAACACACGACACACAAAGAAAATACACAATCAAATTCTAATGTTTTGCTTTGGTTTTAATCTATTGTATTGAATTTCGTTGTGATCTTCTGGGCATTTGTTGCAGTGGTGCTAGGTGGTGGTGGTTTTGGAAAGATCACGTATGAGAATTTTAGTTCCTTTTTTTCCTTTTCCTGTTTGGTAATTTGGAGTGTTCCTGATTTAATGTAATTTTTTTCCCCCTCTGCTTCCGAGTATACAGAATCTCTGAAGGAAATATACACACAATTTTTGTATATATTATTTTCTGCTGAAAATTTGACAATGGAAACTAAGCCTTCGAATTCTCCATCGATCTTCGTCGATCATCTAGTTGTGAGCACACTCACTTCATTCTCTGTGATGCTTCTTTACTTTTATAGTTACACATATATACACAAGCACTGCATTTCTATGTGCGTAGGTTCCAGGAGATGTGGTTTTGGATCTCTCAGGAATGGCCAACCAAACAATTAAGCTTGGAGGCGGTCTCCGACAGGTTTGTGTTGGGGTGTCTAAAAATTAATTTGCTCAATAACTTATGCCTAAATATAATTCTTATTTCTTGTAAAGTGTATTAGGTTTTGGTCTTAAGAAACAATGAAATAGAAATTTCAATTAGGTAAAGATTCGACCTTAGGGAGATAGTTATTGGAGTGGCACTTTTAGTTTCTCTTAGTGGAAATAATAAAGTATCTGGATTTTTTATGGAGTAGATAATGGGCTGCTTAAAACTTCAGTTTTTTTTTTAATTTTAGAGGAAAAGAAGCCTCGTCTGTTTGGATCCAGGCTTATTGGGCGACTTTTATCAACACCATGGAAAGGCTGAAAAATGGAGCTTATCAAGAGCTTCCAAGGAAAAGTCGGCTTTTTTGGAAACAAAAAGTCAGCTCCAAATGGGCCAAAAGATTAGGAGTTATAGGTTATATAAATTTGCGCGACAGATTAGGCATTTTCCTAATGCTGATTTATGAATTTTGTTTTCAAATGGGCTTTAGTTATTTTTCTTTATGCTCCGAGCTCTACTCTATAGAACTAGTTCTCGTACTCTGTATAGTTTGACTGGAGATGCCTTTCTTCTTAGATTTTAGTTTCTGTAAACCCCTTTCTTCCTCATTTCTGATTCCCCCTTCTGAGGCTTAAATATTTTGTTTATCTATATTTCCTCAATCTATGAGAGGAGTGTTGACATTTGATTACTGCACCCTATATTTCCAGGACTGTGATGCTATATCTGTGATGAAGGCTGGGATGCTGAGGTTTTCAAAGCCAAACAAATATTGGGTTGAAAGCTCCCAGAGAAGGGTGAGGCCAGGACTGAAACAATAACTGAGACATAATATGACGAAAGTCGCATTCCTTTATTTAATGATGTAACTAGAATAAAGTCTGTAAAATTCTAGCTGGTCCATTGCATGTTTTCATTTTGAGGATTGCTACTGTTTCCCTTGAATAGTTATGTTTCAGTGTTTGTGTGGAATCCCTTATTTGCAGCATGGCTTTCTTTTCACGGTTCAACACAGAAAAGAAGCATGTTTAAGAATGTGTAAAAGGGTTACCTGCCAGTTTTGCATGATAACCTTATTTGAATGTATTTTTCCATGCTGCAAATAAGGAGTTTAGGCCAGTTTGGTTCATGAGAATGGGATCATGTAAACTATGCTGCTCCTTCATGCATGACATGCAACCTGCTAATGTTAACTAAGGAATTCATTAGCTGGAATAAGGATATGGATGTGATGAGACTTTACTTTACAACAGAGATTGGAGTCTACTGCCCTTGCAATCTTGTTTTGGGCATAGCTAGAATAAGGATATGGATATGATTAGAAATTACATTGGAATGGAGTTTTGATTTTGCTCTTCTTGCATTGGATTATTCTAATATTGAAGTGTTATTTTCTTGCACATAATATCTTAACGTTTTATTTTATAATTCTTTTTGGCAGTATGTTCCTTGTGTGGGTGATACTGTTCTTGGAATTGTGGTAGACTCAAAAGCAGATGTAAGCACTTCTAAGTACTTCAATGCTATTATAGTGCGAGGCTGATGTTGCTTGTTCCTTAGTAGCAGTTTTGGTCTAAAGCTTCATTCTTTCTTATACTTGGTTACTGAAATTAGATGGTATTTGTTTTAGTCATATATTAATAGTATTAGCTTACAATACAAGTCCTTCCTTGTGCATTACTGGTTGTGTCATTTTATACTGCTTGCTTTAATATTATTGTGCATTGAAGGTGGAATTGGTGGCACTGGCTTGATACAAATGACATTTTTCTCATGTTCCTTTTTCTGACGTTCGTCTTGGAAATGCGTGTTGAGGAGATGATGGCACAGTTTACGAAGGTTATGATTTTGAATGGGGAAAAATGGATAGGATTACGAAATTGAGTTTCGTGAAATCTATGTGATGACCCTTATGGAAAAGCATAACCTCAAAAGGAGATTAACCTAACATCTGTTTGGTAATCTCTTTGATTGGATTATGTTTTTTCCTCTCCTAAAAATTCCTGTTGACAATATTAATGTGATGCGGTGGCAAGATTTGCACACTACAAATTTGCAACATAAATTTTCATAGTTTTCAATATTACTTGTGGTGGGCCTGTTGAAAGTGATGAGGGAAGAATTGATCAAAATGAAATCTGAAGTTTGTTTAACTGCACAACTACTGAGAACAAATAGAGGTTGTAGCAACAATGGCATTTGTAGCGTTGAAGGATCTGAACAGGAGAGGTTCAAATGTAAAGCTCTTCATACTTGAATCCCTTACGATTTTCTTGTGGCTATAACTGAAATAGGCTTTTGGTGATGTTAAGTTCCATTATGATCTGCTTAGTTGACAATTATGACCAAAAAGCTGTTGCATGGGGGTACATTCGCAATGGGGGCCATGATCCTCTTAAGCTTATAAAGATTATTCTTGCAAGTTGAATGTTTTTTCTTTAAGTGCACAAACTTCAAGTTAAATTACTTAATATTATTCCCACTGTTTCCTTTTCTGCAAATATTTTTGTTTTAATGTTATTTTGGTTATTTTTATATCTTTTATAATGAGGTGGTTACAGAGCATTGATATCTTAGACTATTGCAAGTTAAGTTGCCGTCTGGAAACCGATGTTTTTTTCAAGTTATCTCAGGGACACATAAATTTCCTTTTGAATCTCTTATTTTTTTCATTATTGAATCGTGTTTGTTATTAACGCCTGGTCCTTTCTTGTGACCGTAAAGTTTTTTTTTTACTTGTGTGGTGTGAATGTTCAATGTTGACATGTGCTTTTCTGAACTTCGAATTTATTATCTCTTGCAGAATTTCCTTGTGGACATAAAAGGACATGCATTGGCATTTTTGCCTGTGCTCGCGTTTGAGGGAGGAACTAGGAGAAACATACCAAAGTTTGAGGTACAGAATTTATGCCAAGCTATTACTTCATGTTTCAGTAACTTTTGTCTTCCCTCAATGTTCTTTTTGTGTTCCATGATTGGATTGGTAAACCTGCTTCAGTCATGTTGTCCTTAAATGCAAGATAATTATCAGCATGGAATGTCACACATCTTGTGTGAGGCACATTCTACTTTATGGCTACCATATTGTGAATATCAGAAATTGAGTAGTGTATCTAAAGTTTCCTCTGGATGCCACATTTGATATTTAAGTTGGCTCTTCTTTTCCTGCCATTTAAACAAAGACATTGCAAACACTGGATGATGCTCCATTTTTTCCTAATACATGGATTGAACGTGATCAAGACATTGACGTTTCTTAAATTTATATACCAGTGTAATGAAAGAAGGATGATAGTGCTTTCTTTGCGCTGAAATTGTTTTTTCTTCCCTAGAGTGGGGGTATTTAGTGGTAGTGTTTACACACAAGCTATTTTGAAATCCTTCAATTAACCTGTTTTGATTTACTGCATATTTATTCCACAATGCATCAATTCTTTCTTTTAAGTTGTATTGTATTCTATCAAATATCTTGTTTGCCTTATGCTTCATGTTGCAGGTAGGTACTTTGATCTATGTTCGCATTGTCAAGGCCAATACTGGCATGAACCTTGAGCTGTCATGCACGGATGGTGAGTTTCATTCTACTGTTAGGCTACATCTTGAGTACCTTGCTTATGTTGTCTTTTATTTCATAACTTGTAAATTTATAGGTTTGTTCGAAATATATGGACCCTATTTTGCTTTCTAATTTCTGAGAATTATCTTGTACTTCATAGCCACTGGGAAAGCAGCAGAATTTGGTCCACTTAAAGATGGATACATGTTTGAATCATCAACTGGCCTATCACGAATGTGAGATATTTGTTTCATGCTCCTTGATTTATAGAGTATGAAATATCTATTTGACAAAAAAATCAGCCTGCAAAAGAAAATGTTTACATAAAACCACCTTCTTCTCATCATATGCGAGTATTGCACTCTGTTGATGCTCAAGATTCTAATTCCACACTAATCACAGATCTTCAATTTTCTTTTTGTAGGCTGCTGAACTCCCCTACATGTCCAGTTCTTGAAGCTCTAGGGAAGAAGCTCTCTTTCGAGATAGCAGTAGGTTTGAATGGCCGAGTTTGGGTATGCATCTTCACCTCTTTGTTGTGTTTTTGTTAAATGGCTCTTGGTTTACAAAGTATGTGCATTAGCACACTTCTGTTTGAACTTGGAGTCCCTTCAGTTGATTAATCTAAAGGTTTGATATAGTCCTATTTTAACTGATTTTGTTTTTAAAAAAATAGTGGGTTGGTGGACTTTTTCTTTGTTTTTGTAGGGTTTGATGGGCTAAATTTGAACATGTTCCATTAGGCAGTCTCCTCTTCTTCACATACTTCAAAATGAATTGATTATTGTTATCTATTTCTCTGATCTTTTAAATGTGTCTATGCCTCTAGGTAAATGCCGCATCTCCATCGACAATTATTCTTGTTGCGAACGCAATCATGAATTCAGAGTCATTGAGTGGGGTGCAGCAAAAAATTATGGTGGAGAAACTGCTCCAGAGAGTGCAGTGATGGAAGTAAGTCCACTACAACTATGATTCCACCTCATTTTTCTTTAACTTTGTTTTGCTGAATGTCAAGATTATAGTTCAGTTTTTCCATCCCTGCCCTAGTGCATATAATTAGAACACATTTTTCCCTCACTTTTACCTAGTCTTTAGACATCAAACAATTGTATCTTATAAAAGCATTCTGATGCGAGCTGGAAATTATGTTAGTAAATGTTAGCCAATGTTGACAAGCATTCTCATGTTTGAAAATGAGTATTATGGTACGTGCATTTCTACTTTGGGATATCCATTACACAAAGCACAGGGTGAATTTCAGAAATGTTCTTTCGACATATTCACTTAGATGAGTTGGTCAAGGACCTCATCTTGTGAAACATAGGCGAGGTCCTTGGTTTGACTCGCACCCCAGCCTTGCCAAAATACTTGAAGCAGGGTGGTTCATGGGTCGGTGGACTAGATTTGACTCTTGATACCTCTTAACATGCAGCGTAAAAATGTCCATATTTTTTGGTCCACTGGATCAGTCCTACTAATGGAACCCCAAGTTAATTAAAGAAATGAAGCTATATGCGAAATCCAAACTGATTATGTTGCAATGAGCTATTTTGATACTCCAAAGAAATTTATGCCAAAACAAGCCCAATGGCAAGAGCTTTTAGTAGAGTTTGGTTTGACCTTGAAATATAAATTTTACAAGACAGGTTGTGGATTAATAGGTGAAAAATGTGTTTAGGCAAATTCGTCATGCTAACAAAACAAAAAGTTGTTTGGGGGACTATAATCATGTTCAACTAGAGGATTAGTCTAACGTTGTTTAACTATCAGCTACAGTGGTTTGTATTGTTTTTTCTGAATTTGTATTGATGTCTCCAACTATAATCCTTGGTGGGTCATCTACTTTAAGATCACCGGAGTAGTTTACCTGTCAAAGATGTGTTGGTGTATTCAAGTCAAGATAAAGAAGATGCTCCAATTTTTTTTTTTTTTTCTAATCAATCGAGCAATCGTTTCTAGGCACGTGAAATGAACAGAAGACATAATTGAAATCGTTTTGTTTAGTTTCATGGTAAGTGATCTTATACATAGTTCCAAGATCCTTAGATATTTGCTCAAGAGATATCTGAATTCCCCTTGTACACTTTCTAGTTATTTTTTCTTAATATCACTAACTCTTCTATAGTCTAATGGTATCTTTTACTTTGTTAAGATTTTGTCCTTTTAAAATTAAGGGCCCAAGTCCATTGGGTGACAAAAGTGAAGTTTGTTTGTAGTATGGATCTCAATTACTTAGACGAATAATATATAATGCTCTATTTGGTAGAAAGGATGTAAAATAAGAATAATGAAAAGTAAGAGAGATACACTTTTTATCCTTTAAAGAAGGAAAGTAAGAATGATACACTTTTTTTCTTTTATGTTTTGTAGGATGGATAGAAAATAAAAATGATTAATTTTTTTTTGTGTGCAGGTTAAGATTAGGGGTGACAATTGAGTCGTGTCGTATCAGGTTTGTGTTGAGTCATTGTGAGTTCGTGTTGAACATTAATCAAATCTTATTCAACTCATTTAACTAATTGTGTTGTGTCCAGTTAATCTGTTTATTTTCGTATCGTATTTGTGTTCGTATTTGTATTGATTCACATAAATTTTGAATAAAAAATGTAGCGGTAATATTTTATTTTTACTTAATTGCATGCATGCTCATACTTTTTCTATAAATTAAAAATTAACTTAAATAAGTATAATAATAATGATGATTAAAAATATCTTTTTTTATATAACAATATGTCAGTGTCTAATAAATAGTTATAAATAATTAACATTTTATATCTATGATACTAGTTAAAATGTTAATTTCATATTAATTTCATGTTATCATACAAACGAGAAAATAGAGTAAATGTTTTTTCTTAAATAAACGTGTTAATGGTGTCAATTTTGAGTTTGACGGGTTGAATTGAATATGAGCTATTTATATTTCGTGTTCGTGTGTCAGGTCATTTTCAAGTTTCTGTTGAGTTATAACTAAATTTGTGTCAAGTTTGAATCGTTTTATTGTGTTGAATCAAAAATTTTCACTCCTAACTAAGATAGAAAAAATATATTTTGTTTTATTTTAAAATTTTTATGCTTAAAATTTTATTTTAATTTTTTTTAAAAAAATATAAATATGTAAATAAAATTGATGTATACTAGTTATTGCTTCTGTTTGAAGGCACAAAGTAATAAAAAATAATAAATAATAAACATTTGTATTCATATTCAAAATTAAATTACAAACATAGAAGATATAAAAAAATTTAAGCATCAGTTTGTAGTGGGGGTGAGAGATGGTGGGTAGCAGGAGACGATGATGGTTGTGGTGAGTGGCAATAACGGTGGTGGCGGAGGTGGTGGCGGTGGTAGTGGTAGTGGATACGGCGGTGGTAGTGGTGGTGGAGGTGGTGGCGGTAGTGAGATAGTTTTAAACACTATTTTTTTTAAGTATTTATGAGAAATAATTTATAAAAGTACTTTTAAAAAGTCACTCCAAACACACCCTTAGGGACCTATTTTTCCCATTAAATTTAGGGTGTTAATATTAGCCATTAGATTAACTTTAAAGTAAAATTTAAAACGATCTCAACCGCAAATAGCAAAAGTCATTTTGTTTATCTTTTGATATTTGAATTGTAAGCTATTTTATTATATAGATATGTATATATCAAAAAATATATAAATAAATAAGATATATTTTAGCACAAATAATAAATTTTTTATCTATTTTTTTTCCGATTTTAGAAGGATTGATTTTAGTGAGTTGGAAGAAAAATTTATTCATCTATTTTTCTATCCTTTTTATTTTCTTTCCTTATCAAATATGATGTTTTATTTATTCTTATAATTTTTCATCCTTTTAACTTTTCATTCTTTTATTTTTTTATCATACCAAACGGAGCATAAGTTTGTAGTGTGGGTTTAAGTCCTCACCAAAGCAAGTGTAAATTCTAATTTAATTGATATATGAGTTGAGGGTTCAATTTATACACATCCGTAATTTTACTTGGACTTATGAACTTGAGCATCTCTATTAAGCAGGGAACTAGGAATTTCCCCCTTTACCAAAAGAAAAGAAAAGTACCACCAAATCATTCACTCTAATTTATGTGGGTCACATTTAAAATTATACAAATAAAAAATAGGAAGGATCCAAAATCCTCCCTCTCCCTGTCTTTTTCTTGTGGATCTGTAGTCCTTTTCCATGTCCAAAATTAAATTACTTGTGCTTTCAAATGTTATTCCTTTTTACAATTGAAACAAATGGTCTGCATTAAGTTGTCGATAAAAAAAATTGAGTGCACAACAATACTCGCCCAGCTATTCTGATTTGATCTCCGATCTCATATATTAGATGTAACTCGTGCCTGAAGCTACGGTATAATGTGGATAATTTTAAGAGAGATATTAGTAGTCGTTATATATAATATATTTATTTTGCCATTTTTTTTTTCTTCTTGTTTAGTTGTTTTGTTGGCCCGTGTTAGAGTTTATGTTATAATTTCAGATGCTTTGTCTACTCATAGTAAGACTCTCTTATAACTATCTCGTGGTACATACATTATTGTAGTAATAATAATACATTCATAGCTACATGAAAAAGAATAATAAAATTGTTTTAAAAGGCCATTCAATCGGAGTTGAAGACCATTCCATCTCGGTTGCTTTTTTTTATAATTAAATTAACTTTGAATTTAGATTTGAGGATATAAAGGCTCTAGGGATAATATAATAATAATTTTTAAAATAAATTTTAGTCTAAAAATAAATCTATTCATCGGAGAGACCTAGGTCTCTCAATTTTTGTCGGATGAGACGGATTTGTGTTAAAAAATACTTCTGTGTTTAGTATAATCGATATATAAACGAGTCGATATTATATAATTTTTTTGATTAATTTTATAAATTTTTAATTTATTTATTAATCGGATTAACAAGTCATGTCACCGACATATCCAACTTTTATATAAGTCTCCGTTCCATTAGATCTAATCTTAAGTTGCTATTTTCGAGTTCGTGTCATAAAATTTGTATCGAATTTGTGTCGTATCGTCGAGTTGAGTTGAAAATTGTCACCTCTACACTCAAACGGGTTTAATTATAATATTAATTTTTATAATATGTTCATTAAAAACATGAAACATATAAAAAAAAATTATTTTATTATTTTTACAATCAATAAATACAAATTTATTGAATCTGACAATTTTAATATAGTACCAATTTTTTTTAGTTATATATATTCTTATATTCAAAAAAAAAAAAACATGTATCATTTCCTACCGCTGAGCTAAAGACCCATGACTTTTTATCCAAAGATTGTATCCAGCACTCTCCATCGTAATTATATTTTGAACGGCGGACCTTTCAAAAAACTAATGGCCCATGTCAAGATTCAGGCAATGCAAAAGAAATCCAGGACACTGTACTATCACTCCAAACATGATTCCAATCATTTTAGATCGACCGGACCTACTGTATTTCGTACTTTTCAAGACTTGTCTCCACATGTGCTCGAAATAGAGGGAAAATAGTAGGGCGTGTTTGGTTACTTTTTGCAAGACAATTTTTTGTTTTTAAAATTTTAAAAACACACAAAATTTGTTTGTTTAATATTTTTGTTACCTAAATTTTTGAAAAAAAAAAGAGATTTGAGTCAAAAAAATAGAAAAAATATGTAGCTTGTTTTCAGAGTTTTCTTTGAAAATTTTGAAAACAAAGAGAATAATTTTGGATTTTCAAATATATATATATATATATATATATTATGAAATTGTCAATATAAAAATAATTTTTTTATATTTTTTATTAATATTTGAATTACTGTTCAAATATATATTTAGGTTGTCCAAATAGGTTTTATTATTTTCTGTATTGTAAAATTGTTTTTGAAATCACCTAATCAAACAAGTTTTTTATCTCAAAAAATATCAAAACCACTTTCTTAAAACTATTCTCAAAAATTATTTTCGGATACTATTTTTTGAAATGCAAACCAAACATGCCCATAGTTTTTTATTTTATTTTCCATTTTTTTTTTGTGGGGTGGGGGGTGAATTTTTTTTTGTTATTTCCAATTCTTTTTAATGTACATAGGAATGACAGTGGACTTATCTCTATATCAGTTTCAAAAGTATTCATTCATTCTCGATCCACTCCTATTAACAGGGAAAATATTAATCTCTTTCTCGCCCTGAAGGTAAATAGATCACCGTTCTTATACCCGTCA